TATCCTCACACATTGGCTACCCGACGCCCCCCTCATTGTAGAAACCGACGCCTCCGATTACGCGATCTCCGGAATCCTTTCCATCCGTTGTGATGACAGAGAGATTCGCCCCGTCGCTTTCCGCTCTAGAACACTCTCGGCGCCGAGCTCAATTACGACACCCATGACAAGGAACTGCTCGCCATTCATGATGCGTTCCAATCATGGCGTCATTACCTCGAAGGTTCAGGAACCTCAATCGACATCGTCACTGACCACAAGAACCTCGAGTATTTCTCCACCACCAAACTCTTGACCCGGCAGCAAGCCTGCTGGTCTGAGTTCCTCTCCCAATTCCACATGACTGTCCGATTCCGTCCCGGAAGACTCGGAGTTAAACCAGATGCATTGACTAGACACTGGGACGTCTATCCCAAAGAAGGGGATATGGACTACGCTCGTTCGTGTCAATCTGCAGAACTTCCGACCGGTCTTCACTTCGGAGCAGCTCACTGCATCCTTACAAGCCACGTTCCTAGCTGCCACAGTAATCCGAGCAGCCGTACTCGTCGACACAGAGGCTCTTCATCGAGACATCCTAACCTCCCTCTCCTCTGACACCACAATCTCTTCTCATCTCGCTTCCCCCAACCTCCCCAATTCCCGCTGGTCCGTTGATGCTGAAGGCCTCTTAAGGCTGGACAATCGCATTTACATTCCGGATTCTAACGATCTCCGTCTCCGCGTTTTGCGAGACAAACATGACCACCAACTTTCCGGACACTTCGGGCAAAACCGGACTCTGGATCTAGTACGTCGTGAGTATACCTGGCTGGGCATCCGTAACTTCGTCAAGAGTTACGTATCCTCCTGCACTTCTTGTGCCCATGCCAAAGTCCCCCATCATAAGCCTTACAGCTTACTCAAACAACTCCCCATCCCCGAACATCCTTGGAACTCCATCTCCATGGATTTCATCGAACAGCTACCCTCCTCTTCCGGATTCACTTCCATCTTGGTCGTCGTGGACCGCCTGTCCAAACAGTGCATTTTCATCCCTACCCACGATACCATCACCTCCCCGGAACTGGCCAAGCTCTTCCTCCTCCATGTGTTCTCCAAGCACGGAGTTCCATCCCACGTCACCTCTGACAGGGGTCCGGAGTTTGTCTCTCATTTCTTCCATTCACTTGGTAAGGCCCTCGACATCCACCTCCACTTCACCTCCGGTTATCATCCGGAAGGAGACAGTCAGACCGAACGGATGAACCAGACGCTTGAGCAGTACCTGCACATCTACAGTAACTACCAGCAGGACAATTGGTCCGAACTCCTGCCTCTCGCAGAGTTCGCATACAACAACGCTCCGAATGCCACAACGGGCGTCTCCCCATTCTTCGCCAACAAAGGCTACCATCCGAACATCACCATTCACCCGGAGCGAGACCTGACATCAGTACGCGCCCAAGAGTACTCCGTCAATCTCGACTCCCTCCACCACTTCCTTCACAAGGAAATGCATCTCGCTCAGATCCGTTATCAGGGCCTGGCAGACTCCCGTCAGAGTCCTGCCCCAGCTTTCGAAGTAGGAACCTCAGTCTATGTAAAGGCCAAGTATTTCCGCTCCACCCGACCTTCCAAAAAGCTCTCCAAGAAAAACCTTGGCCCATTCGAGATCATCGCCCACATTGGAACTCACTCCCTCACTCTCTGCCTGCCGGAAAACATGCGAGCCATTCACCCGGTATTCCATGTCTCGCAGATCGAACCCTCTGTCCCGAACATCATTCCGAACAGCCACCAGCCACCTCCACCCCCCGTAGAAATCGAAGGCGAGATGGAGTTCGAGATCGAGGAGATACTCGACTCCAAGATCAACCGACGTAGATGCAATAAGTTGCTCTACCTGGTCAAGTGGCTAGGCTATGAAGGGACCGACGAGGAGACCCAATGGCTCCTTGCCGGCGAACTCGATCATGCCTCCGACCTCGTCGAAGCGTTCCACTCCCAGTACCCAGCGAAGCCTGGACCCGAAGCTCCTTAGGAACCCCGACTCCTCTCCCATTCCTCCTTTTCCCTCCACTCCTCACTTCCGTTTTCATTTTCATTTCCTCATTTTTTCTTTCTGTAAGTACAGCTCCCCTCATCTTACTAATTCTGGGCCTTCAAGGGTTCAGGCCTAAGAAGGGGATACTGTCATATCCATTCCCAGCCATCGACTTCCGGTCCCTCCGATCCCTCCGGTCTACCTCCACTCCTTCTTTACTAACCTCGGAGCTCCCATATTCCGCAATCCCCTCAGTACCCCTCGATGGTCACCACCCCCTCCTTTCAATTTATTACCTATGCCTCCCTAAGTACGGAGCCCCGAAGACTTCCGGACAGCTCCAACGTCCGCTAGTGCACTCCCGCCTCCGCTGGGCAATACACTCGCCTGCCCTGCAGAGCCCACCTTCGGGCCTATCCCTCCTTTCCATTTCTGGGTTATCGCCCGCCTTTCCGTTAACCCCGTGACCCGACTCATCGGTAATATTCAGTCGGCTAATGTTTAACCCTGTTAGCTCGGCTCCGCCATTTGCGGACCCGTCTTCGCTGTAACCATATATATATCCAACTTGTACATAGGTTACACTTCAGTAATAAAATCGACTAGAGTTACCCCCCCTTCAGTTCTGGTTGCCAGTTAGTAAGTTAGGGCACGGACGTGTTACTAGGCACAGCGCTCTTGGCATAAGTCGCTGAGGCCGAAGCCCTCCGCCACGGAGACTTTCCTTCGTCTCGAACCTGGTCTCTGACAGATTGCATACTTGTCTTCCGAAAGAATTTGCCGGACATTCCTTTTGCTCTGGAGGGGCTACCCACCTTGCCGCTCTTGGTTTTTCAGATTCAAGGATTCAAGCTTTAGGTCGTTGGTCTTCTGATGCTTGGCGAATTTATATTCGTAAGAACCCTGTAATTCTTTGTGCCCGTTCCCCCATGGGGTCTTCGATTTTTGATTCCTAGCTCCCTCCTTTTATTTTTCACCACCATCCCTCCCCTCCTCCTTCTTCTTCTACCATGTTATCGGCTCGCTTCAAATCAAGAGGCTTCGACTTCCTGTCGGGGCCGTCGCCACGCTATCCGTTACGCCTTCGCCCACGCACAATTAAGGCATGAAGAAATGAATAAGGATTCATAATATTTGTTTGGGAGAATGACTAAGTGTATTACAGATACATAGTATTCTCGAACTGAATATCTAATTCAACCAGCAAACTGGGAAATGAGAGGATCGCTGTGCCTTTGGGACGCTCAGACGTTGGACCATCCGTGCCTCGGAATGATGTCCAAGAGTGAAAAGAGCATCACGTAGAGTCCTATATTGATAGAGGCTGGTAACCTGTCTAGATGAAGGTCCTAAATAATTGCAACAGACCATGGACGATGATACAGAGGAAGACGATGACAATGGGAAACCGGATGACAATGACGATGAGGGTGGAAAGACGATTTGTTCATCAATGATCACCTTGACGGAGGGATCGGACGAGAGGAAAGAGATGGACGTATGGAGGAGTGGGATGAGCTGTTGGGACAAAACCGACGAGTCTTCGAAAGAAGGGAAAGATTGTATTACGTATGCCGCTAGTGGATTTATATTTGCAAAGATTTTTCCAGGCTGTTTGTAGGGTGGCAAACCTCAATGACCCAGGCTACGTCATGAAGTTCGTTCGTGGTGGTGAGGGAAATGGTTTGAATCAGGAGTGGTCAGGTCGAAGGGTGCCATGTCGGGGATGGGTACCGAGTGTGCCAAAGCCGAGTGCAGGCGTTCAAGTCGTCCAAGTTAGAAAGTGAGGTAGTGCCAGTGACACAACCATCAAGAAACCTCAAATGAAGCGTGGCGGGTAAGAGCATCACCAGACGTGTCTTCAGAAACTAGGATGCCAGAAAAGATAAAAAGATCAGCACCCACAATCCCATTGAAACCAGAGAGGGGACGGGTGGTACGAGACTTACCAAGTATGATCTCACCTTCTTAATCTAATATCCTCCGCCACCACAAATGCCCTTAGTGCAGTCGACCAAGTTCCTATTCACGATTCCCCGATACAACTACTCAACCGGAACGAATCCACTTTGATCAATGATCTTCATCAGTGTCGCAATCTCGACGGTCGATAGAGTCCAAGCGAGATTTCCTTTCGAATGCTAAAAGGGACTGCTGATAGCGCTACTGGTGGAAGGGATGACAGGAGGGAGGAGATGACGGTTGCAACAGCTGCCCATTTGAGCGTTTCGAGATTACGCACGGTGGGATAACGACAGTGAGGGTTCAGGAGGAAGGCAGAAAGAAGACTAGCAAACAAAGCCAGGGGCGCGCAGTGAAATGGGCAGGTTGGAAATGAATACGCCTCTAAATGCACCATCAAGTCGGTGTTAAAAAAAGGAAGCTAGAGGCCTTATCGATTAGTTGCGGTGGCGTCCGGGGTGCGAAGGGATCAGTGAAGGTTCGACCCTCATGTTCCTAAATAACATGATCCTTCCTAGCATGCTCCAAGGAATTCAGGGTAGTAAGCAGTTCGGTGTCAGGTTGTCAGAGAAATGCCGAGTTCGCCGAGTCGAGGTCGACATCCGAGGTTACCTTGACGTCACCGCAACTCAATTGACAATACACAACCCACTAAATATTGACCCGTTTGACCACCTTCATCCCCGTGAGAACCAATTCAATCGTGGGGTATGCATGTCCCCGAAACGGGCTCTCGGCCAAAGCCGGGCCAGCCGTTTCATTCACAAACCGTGAACGTCGTTGTAGGTAAGGCGCGTTGATCGACGTCCTCAACATCAGGATAACCGTACGTTGCACTACAGACCCGTCCTCTATTCCTTGGGTGTTCTACTTCTTATTTATTGCCATAAGTGGCATATTCGGTAAGCTCGAAATCCGTCGTTGGCATCATTCCCAGCCCTGCACCTAACAGAACGCACTACGTTTGCCTCCAATCTCGTTATAGATATCATTAAAAAGGACCACTCTTTGTATTTAACTGAAATCCACTGGAGGCGCTTAGCGCGTTGCTAGTGCACCACGGTTAACGACAGGGATCCCCCCAATCAACCCAGCCCTCTGAGTACACCGTCTACGTAGAGTAATGGTTTCTCCAGGCCATTCTGTATATTCTGCGCGAGGATTTGGGGCTTGTCCGTGGAGACACCTGCAGAGGGCCGGAGGTTGCACCTAGCACCGCTGGTACTCGTGGTTGTTTGGTTCGTCTGGGCCACCCGCCGCAAAAACCGATCCCCCGCTCCGATTTCGTGCCATACATCGACAGCTATACACCTTCCTAGGCCCCCATCAAAATCTTTCACCCAAACGGTCGCACCGACACGCAATTCCCCTCCCTGCTTGCTTGCACACCGACCCTCAGATCTCGCTGTTTGCGCTTATACACCCTAAAACGCTCTGTGTGTCGTCTTTTGTTATCGAACGGGTGCAAAAGATCTCAGCGAGCAGAACCGTTGGGTGTTCGCCACGATCCTCTACACCCTCGTATTACGCGCTATCCCCTTGTCCAATCCGTATCAGTGGGACCGTATTCATATTCGCTGTCCGCTGTCCAGTCATATCATACACACACCTTCCTAGGCCCCCATCAGAACATCTTACCCAAACGGTGTATTGCATTACGCACCGACACGCGATTCCCCTCCCTGCTTGCTTGCGCACTGACCCTCAGATCTCGCTGTCTGCGCTCATACATCCCTAAAACGGCGACAAACGCTCTGTGCGTCGTCTTCTGTCATCGAACGGGCGTCAAACGGGTGCAAAAGATCTCAGAATTGTTGAGTATCCGCCACGATCCTCTACACCACGCGCTATCCTCTTGTCCAATCCATATCAGTGGGACCGTATTCATATTCGCTATCCGCTGTCCAGCAATCACGCACCCCTGGTACTCGCAGTTGTTTGGTTCGTCTGGGCCACCCACTGCAAAAGCCGATCTCCCACTCCGATTTCGTGTCATACATACACCTTCCTAGGCCCCCATCAAATCATCTTACCCAAACGGTGTATTGCATTACGCACCGACACGCAATTCCCCTCCCTGCTTGCTTGCGCACTGACCCTCAGATCTCGCCGTCTGCGCTCATACATCCCTAAAACGGCGACAAACGCTGTGTGCGTCGTCTTTTGTCATCGAACGGGTGCAAAAGATCTCAGAATTGTTGGGTGTTCGCCACGATCCTCTACACTCTCGTATCGCGCACTATCCTCTTGTCCAATCCGTATCAGTGGGACCGTATTCATATCCGCTGTCCAGCAACTACGCACCCCTCAATCGGCGCTAAAGCGACGTCAGAAACGGCACAGTTGGGCTGGGACTTCAACCCGACGTGTGCCCTCGCCACTGCCTGCCACTGAATATCCAATACCCAAAGACCTTTATAAGACCAGTGCCCGTGCTATACATATATTCCTCAGCGCCAAGCGAGCACCAGTAATCGCCCTTCTTCGCCGCAAATTGCCCCGTTTGGTGTCCGTTCCTATTGGTATGTACTACAGCTACACACATGAATATGCAGCTGAGTGCATGTCTCTCTTACAGGTCGGCTACCGGCGTAACTCGGCCGATATACCCACACTTGTTGGGGGAGACCTATCCCGTTCTGCTCCTTTGACCCGAACCCATTAGTTTCTTTAGCAGCTACTCCCATGCCGAGGCATAAGCCTGTAATTCCACCCCTTACTACTTCGCCTGTGAAAAAATATCAGCCGTATAATTTAAAAAGACCTAAAAAATATGCCGATTTCCTTGGCCCCCAATCTGCACCTGAATCCGAACCCTCAACGTCCAAAAAGAAAGGACATAAGCACGTCCCAGCCGCTGAAGTCCCTATTTCCCAGCCATCACGACGCGTTGAGATAGCAAACGCCAGCGGCACCGTGATGACGCAACACTGGGGGCCTGGCATTGAGCCTACGCATTGGTGGCAGGTGCCAAATCGCCACGATCACGTAGGAAATGCAATGTCGGCGGATGCCAGCAATGTTTCGACTCCCCCTTCAACGCCAGCTCTAAAAAAGAAATCACCAATATGGGAAGCATCCCCTCAGGGTTGGCTGGAAAATATCGCAGAGCCCACTCCTTCGGGCCCAGACACTGCTCTGTCCCCTACACTGTTGCGGTCAGCTTCCCAAAAGCGGGCCAAGAGAGCATTACGAAATCCGCAAAAGCAAGTTGCATGGCTCCATTGGCGCCGCGATGTAATACACAAAGCGGTGGAAATCTATCTAGGTCTAGAGGCGAAGAAGGCAGGACGCGTGCCCCTTGCCGCCCCCAGCGAGACGTCGTATGATAGAAACGGAAAACTGCAAACACCAGCAGCATCGCTGTGCTCCCACTGCAATACATCTTTCCAGTTTCATTCACTCATGACGATTGCATTCTCAGGTACGTTTGTGTTCTGACCTCCCTTAGCAGTGTCCCAATGACCCCGAGCCAGGTGCCACGCGGCGGACGTTCGAATATTGCAAATGTCCGTCCAATACTCTCCCGCTTAGCATCATCCAGTCTGGCTACTTTCCAGGGTCACCTGTAACGCCCCAAGTTGCCTTTCATTTCGACGTCCTTTCGCTGTATTCAGCTTTGCATGTGGACTCGTACACCCCGATTGCCTCCTTTCATGCCGCTTTGTTTGCCATGTTACGAGAGAACGGTTACGAATTCACCCACAACGTAAGATCTATTTGTTGCATGTCGGGAATTGGCACCTTCATGATCCGGCGCGCATATAGGACCCCTTTCTGCAGTCGTTTAGCGAGGCGATAACATGGTTTCAAGCCCTACGTGACTCGGTAGAGGTTGAAACGGAGAGAGAGTTTCTCCTACCCACATCCCCTGCGGCACCCGATGCACCGCTATGTCGTTCCGCGCCGGTCGAGTCCGCTGCGTTTACCCATGTCGCTCCTGCCCACAACGGCAATCCATCGGTCACTGCATCCCATGGCATGATGACCGTTAACCACGGCATCCCAACCTCCATAGGGACATCACCGGACCTTCCATCGATGGTCCATGAGCGAACAAAGCTGATTCGCAACCCGTCCAACAGCAGCGCAAGTCCATACCTCCGCACGAGATGCCCGCAATGTTTTGGAGGCTCGATGTGGGGCAACTCAGCCAACGAGTTAGTCCTCTCATACATATGCTTCGGGAACAGGTATACTAAGCGATTCCCTAGATATCCTGATGTCATCGTCGCCATGGATGGTAATATGCAACATAAGCAATACATGTTCGTTGGAGGAGAGATGATTCTTCCCTGGAATGAAACTTGCACATTCCTCACCGATGCCGAAATCGAGGAAGCTGCCCGCCATATCTCTGATGCACGAGCTGCATCTAGAGGCTGTTCGGAAGTATCTCGTCCCTCATCCCTTGTACCAGATGGTGCTATTGATGAATGCGAAGAATCACACAGAGCCACGAAACGTGGAAAGCAGTCAGCCTCAAAAACGGATACCTTCCGTTCGAAGGGCCTGATGGCAACCGTATGCCGTCATGACATCCCCCTTTTCCTCTGCGATGTACGCACTCTGGGTGAACAGCAGCACTTTTCGATTGCCATGCTCCTTGCACTTAGCCGCCAACTACCCTCAAATGCCACTATTGGATTAATGTATGATGTTGGGTGTGTTCTTGATCGATCGATCGCCAAGGTATGGCCTCGCATGGTCTGCAACTACAACCTCTGATATTTGAACAAAGTACAATCTTATCCCCGAAATCGCTCCTAGATTGAGCATCGCCGTTTCAGTCTTCCATGCCTACGCACATCAATTCTGTTGTCAAATCGCATTTCACCCCTGGAAACGAAATGGGTTCGGAAAGTCAAACGGGGAAGGAAATGAGCGATTATGGTCCTTGATTGTTGATACAATTGCGCCTGAACGCATAATGAGTGTGAGTCCCAACACTGTTCGGTCGACAACCCTCTCTTATGCAATGTTGTCCCAAAACTATAGCCGGCAAAACGAATCACAACTATCGACAACAAAATCAAGATGATCGTGTGCCGTGGCCGAGACCGCCTTGCTTCATTGGCTAGGTCCAAATTGGCCGCCATTGTTCATGAGGAGGCGCTTCTAACCGACCTCCTGCAAGATTTGAAGAGTAAGAGGGGATTCACAACTCCTTTCCTTCAATCCCAGTGGGAAGAGCAAAAGTCTTTGCAGCTCTCCGTTCGAGCCTGTATGCCCATTCCCGATCTCATGTTCGGCGTTGACTTATGCTGTTATGCCCTAGACAATGATCAAGCCGGAATGAAAAAGTTCACCAAACTTTTGGAAGCCGAACGATCAGCCCAGGCACATTCGGACGCATTGGACGCCGTAAAGAAGGAGCTGGACCGAATCAGCTTGGCACGAACACTGTCCCATAGTCCTATCGACCTCACGGAGCATTTCCAAGCCGCTCAGCGTGTACGATCGTTGCATGATAAATCTCAAGAATGCCTACGTGATCTGACAGCTCAAATTGGCCTGTCCGATTTGAAACTTCCGCAAAATCCGTCTAGCACAGAAAGGGACTACATGGAGAAGTACATTCTGGCCCGATTCCGCAAACATGCCATCCTTATCCGCTTAGCCAAGTACCAGGACGAGATTAACCCTATTCGGAGCTCACAACGGCGTGGAGGACGGCTGGTTACAAAAGTCGGTAAGCATACCCCATTTGAGGCGAATTCTGATGTGCTCGAAAATTCATCCGGTACTTTGAGGATATTCGAAAATGGTCTCAGTGTTCAATAGCGCAAACGACCGTGCCCGTATTATTTCCGCCCATGTTGCGCAATATAACGAGCTTGTCGACTGCCTCGAGCGTTCTGTTAGGCCATCCTGGCTCCCGGACTCTTTGAAACACGCCAAAATGAATGTCAAGGAGCTGCTTAACATGGATCCCAGTGATGAACAGTGGACAAAGATGTGGGAGAGCCTGTGGGATTCCAACTGGAACTTGGATGAGAAACCACCAGCTTTTATCGTCGACCAACAGGTTCGCCATGGCATAGTAGCGGTGCTATCGCTCGCTCGTATTGAGGAGGAAAAGCTTAGGCTCGCTCAAGAGGAACTTAACGCGCGCTGTAGGAGAAATAACGGCCACACTATGGAAACCCATTATGAAAATATGCCAGATAAATCACAAAACCTCATACGACAAGTAGATATGAGAACATAGAAGGACCTGAATTTTTACGAATTTTACGAATTTTTACGAATTATTACGACTATACACGATAAATCGAAAGAAAGAAAAATAACAAAAATACTTCAAGCTTACCATCAACGAGACGGAATTCTCGGGGGAATTTATAGCAAATATTAAACCAAGAATTAGGACAATCGACCAAGATTTGACTATAAAAATAATCAGAGAACCTCCACGGAAACTACTTTCCCACGTCCGCACACATAGCAAGGATGGAAGTACCACGGAACAAAGATTCCTCAGGAACTAATGCAAAAGTCAAAGGCGTGTTTATAATAGGAAATGTAGATGTCACCCAAACGGAACCAATGAGAGTAATTATAGGGGAAACTACCCATAAACGACGGAGATATGACTAAAACTCCTGCAAAACGAGGACAATGTCTAAAAAGCAAGCGCGAAGATTAACTAGTAACGACCGAGACAAGCTTGATAGCCCATTAGAAAGGAAAGGATCTACTCTTAATCCTCCCAAATTTCCATAATAAAAGGATCATGCGTTAATGAGAAATCCAATAACGGGAATAGCGACATCAAAAGTCCGAGCTCAGGGACAAGACGATGATTGCGTAGGATCCATAATTAAAACATACAACGAAATTTACACGGAAAATATGAAAAATAGGAAACTATAGTTATGCAAATTCTCAGCCCAAACGGTCCAGCCGTTGTGAAGTTATACCCATGACGGGAATATAGGAATCCGCATCATGTGTAATGACACGTGAGGGTGGCGATGCGCAGGGAACCGGCCGTCGGAACCGAGATCCGCACTTCGGCAGATCGCGAAGACCAATTTCCGTCCAAATAAGGAAGAGCCCGGTCAAAACAAAGCACGAAAGGTGCAAAACAACCTTAGATCATGAGGGAAAAATCTGAAATAAATCACAGAAGCCCATATGAAAGAAATAAACACCCGCGCATATCATAAATCCGAACAACTAAACGAAAACGGCTCCCGCATACGAACAACTATGGGAACGACGCACGTGATTACCGAATGTGCGCGCGAAACTTTGCTAACTCAACGAATACAGGGAAATAGGACACAACCTTAGTACCATTGGAAAGGTGGGAATAAATGGAAATTTATGATACCAAGAACGTGAGAAAACATCCAGAAATGAATGAGATACAAGGACATGAAGTTAGAAACCTGAAAACACGCGGGAAGACAGCTTCAAGAGGTCTAGAGCCCTAAATAAAATACATAAAAATATGATATCTTCGAGGACGACCTACTATAACAACGAACAATACATATGGAGGATTAGGATGTGATAATACAAAAGGGAATCAGGGAATATGAACGAAATTCACGAAAACTACTAAACTACGACGGACCATGGCGGGAATTTTAGGGAACGATGTTCTAATGAAGTAGAGAGCTATAACACATTCGTTTGAGTAATTCTTGATTACTAGCAACTTTTTCTTTCAGTTTTAAACCTGAATAATTCACTCATTTATCATTTCAGTCTCATTTTAACTAAAATGTCACTAAATAAAATTGGAATAAATCAGCTGAAGGTCTCAGCACAGTCGCACGCATAGTAATGCGAGGTTTGAATTCAGTATGACCGAGTCATAGCGAACTTAATGGGAAATACGGGGAATTTGAAATAGGGAACTGCGGCAAATGCGGCGCAGACAAATTCTAATTAACCATTAAAATAGCTTAGGCGAGGAAGGACAATAAGGATTCCAGGTGCAGTCTGACCGCAGTAGACCGCAGTAGACCGCAGTTCAGCGCAGCAAAGCGCAGCGGAACTATAGCGTGAAAATTTCACTTTTTATTCAGTTTGAGAAAAATACACTGTAAATAAATCCTGTAAATAGAAGGTAGAGCGTGAAAAAGGAAGGCGACCCAAGGAGTATAAAAGGGAGACCCTTTCTGCGACCTTTCGCCCCCCTTAGAGAAGTAAGAAAATAGAGTATTATTTTTCTCAAGCATTTCTGGTTGTCACTCCAGTGCGAAAAAGTGATATACAGTTAAGATTGCCACTGTAGTAAAAGGCAGCAATTAAGGAGAGAAATATTAAGTAGATATTTCAACAGGAGAGCTGGTTAACACTCCAGATTTCAAAGTGTAAACACAAAACAGTTATTTTGCTACTGTTAAAACAAGCAATAAAATAAGACAAAAATAGAACGAACTCAAGGGACACTCCAGACACCATCCAAATTCATTAACTGAATAGAATCTTTGAAACTTCACCAAGTAGAAGATTAAATTCAAGTTTAAATCCAAATTAAACAACGCTACACAAAATTACACCTAGACAAATTAATAAATTTCAATAAAGAAACAGCTCCGCAGGGCTCGGTTTATCTGTAAGTCAATTCCCAGGAACTTTAAAACTAACCCATAAAAATAGAATTAGCCAAAACACTCGGATTGGTACTATATTTACAATAAACAACACTAGTACACTTCCCCATCCTAACTAAAGAACCAGGGAACAGCTTGGTGGTGGTCTCGTTTGAACCTCCCAACTGACCTTCCTTCGTTCTCTCCTTCAGCGCACCTGGATTGTCCAATCGGTAGACTTGTTGATTCGGATCACGGACGATATTCATCGTATGTCCTACAAATTCCACATTACCAATGCGCTGATTTGTCCTCGATCCCAGCCCTGTTTAAATATCGATGGCAACTCCGCCTAAAGTCGTTACTCAAATGCTGTGATACGATCGTGAACGGACCGTTTCCTCATGTCAATCTATGGCGTGCATCGCCGCACTATCTGCTAGCAAACCTAAAACGTCCAGACTCCCAAGCTGCACCGAGTACCGCGGAGTATTCTTCTTTCCGCCTTCCCCCCCCCGGTTCTGCCACTCTGGCCTCAGGAACCAACGGCATAGACCCCGAAGATGATTCTCAAGTTAGAAACGAGCTAAGCGCACTCGATGGACTTATCAGGATGAGCCCAGAGCTGGGTGTAGCTGATGACGATGAGCATGTTGAGCCCTACCTGTCTACCGACAGTGGCAGTGGCCCAGGCGATACTCTCGGCCCTGAGATGCCGGTAAACCTTCCAGATAGCGAACCTGAGACATGGCCAGATGAGACAATGGACCCCACAGACAATGTCGAAACACATGCTGAGCCTCTTACCGACTTGGTCCCTCCTAGTGGGTTCGGAGATGTGGATAGTCCCAGCTGTGACGAGGATATTGAGGAGAGGTTCTGGAATGAGAACCCTCGTCCCCAAAGCCTTCCTCCAATTAGAACAATCTTCGATGCCATCCACTCACCCACCCAGTCTACCCAACAACAAAAGCCAACAAAAATCTGGAAGGAAATAACGGAGTTGCATTTACCTCAAGAGACTGAAAAAGTAAGAATGTTTCCAAGTTCCCCTGTGACTGACGCCACTGATGTCTCATTAGATAGTGAACGACAGCAAGACCAGAGACAAAGCAAGATATTACAAACATATTGCGATCTTCTCTGATGCACTACCAACAGTCAATCGCCGGCGGCTGATACACGGAGCAATAATCGATGCCTATGTTGAGATGCTGAAAGACCTTACAGACGAAAAGCTGCGGGACATACTCAAGACCACTCGTCCCCGTGTGATTATGTTTCCTACCCAGTGTGAAGGAATGAGACATTGTATGGCAGTTCGCCTGTTGGATGTATGTGGGAATACACCGATGGAATCTGTATACTGACCAATATTTTAGCGAGCGACAAAGAAAGTCCGAACCGATCTTTTCGATGCAACCAGTTGGACGATTCCGTGTTACTCAAGGAGGCGTGGTCACTGGCTGCTCGGTGTTGTCAACTTCGAACAACGAGAGCTGCGCTATCTTGACAGCATACCTCTACAACAAAGCGCCCATATCAATCGCCATGGTCCACAGTGGGTGTTTACAGTGCGTTTCCTAATTCTAGCCCACATTCCAGTCTTAATGTTACCGCTTTCTTCAGATACTTCGAGGCCTAGTTAATGCCATCTGGTTGTTCATTCACCCTGATGATGAGCATGGATACAACTGGTCCAATTGGTCCACCAGAGTAATCACTGTAGGTGTGCCATCTTGCTGTATGAACATCATATACATTACAAGTCCTAGATGGAACAGCGCCAATGGAACGGGTATGATTGTGGGGTTTGGACCATGGCTGACATTCAAGCTGTACACATCGGGCTCGATGCTGCACCGAAAGACACGAACATCGATGATTTTCGGGATAGGGTGAAACACCAAATCCTTTCTATTCCTCTGTTAACACCGAGCTGGCAGCCTACCTGGAGAACCCTAAATCCTGACCTTATTTGCGAACTGCGGTGCCGAGCCGCTAAAGTGGCCGCAAACTTTCCCGTTGATTATGCCCAGCTTGGAATTGATCATACGGACGTTCCTTTAGTGTTAGATAATGAACAGGAAAAAATAGATTTAACTGACTAGCGGAGTTTATGTATGCCGGTGTTGAGCCTCTCCTAATAAGATACTTGATGCACCAGTCAAGAGTCAAGCATTCTAGGCCGATGCCAGGTAGCAGCAACCTGGAAACGATGACATGGGACGCCAGGAGGCACTCTTAACCTCCTTGGCTTATGTTCCGTCATTTTGAAGAACTGTCAGTTGTAATCGGTACGAAAACAGCTCGCATTCCCAATTAAGCGGACATACATTCCAGTACTCCACAAGCACGTCGAGGCAGGCGAAGTGGAAGACAATCCATCCGAATCATCTTTTGGTGACTTGAACTGCAGGAAGTGGTAGGCGAGTATAAATTTGGTGGTGCTACATGGTACTATGCTCGTTCAAGTGAAGTTATTCAGAAGGTTGCCTGTATTGGGGGACTTCTTGCCGCTCTCGTTCCTGCAACACTGCATGAAACGGACATGTGTACACCTGTAGGACATCGTCCCTTCCGGAGCTTTTGAGCGGTCCACATGCTCAAAATCCAGATTGGCCCGAAACCACACTTCATAACCATCCTCACTGCAAAACGCTCAAAATTTCGAACGGTGTGCCATCTGGTTTCATGAACAGTGAGCTGGGGCGTTCGACGTCTGCACGAGGTGCAGTGACATCCGTCATATAAGCCCGTAACCTCTAGCTGGACCATTTCGCATCACCAAGCGTGTAATGGGTGAACTTCCTACTTTGTAAACCCCGTCGCAGCGATCTCCCCGCGTCTCCCGTACGTTTCGGCTTAACTTCTCTCTTTATGTTCATTATGCTAACTTACATCTTGTACCTTTTAGTTTTTCCCGTGTTTCCTCAGAGCGTGTTGTTCTTTTGTTGGCTTGCTTCTCTCCTACCTCGCCTTTCACCATGTGATACAGTAAGTCATTCATTCTTGCCAATGGTGAAGATGCTATCTTCGGTGGGTTTCGGCAAGTTGGGCCCCGAATGAGTTTGTGCTGTGACCGCCCTTCCTTTTTGTCATCTACAAGTGGGTTCTTCTCTTTCTAACCTGGGCTTTCACATCTTCTGTATCGGCGCTACCGCCCTCCCCTATCTCCTCTTGTTAGTTTTTCCTTTCTTTTTATCGTTGTACGTCCGGGCCCATGCTCTGTCCGTTTGCACACATGATGTATAATGGCTAAAACGTGTCAACATAATGTATTTTCAGCTCCCCCCAACAAACACCCGGAACCTGGGCAGTAACTTCTGGATAAGTAAACTAAACTAAGGCGCCCGTTGAGATCTCTGTTCGAAGTCTCTGCGAAGTCTCTGAACATCGTCCTCCAGCTCCATGCATCTCGATGCGAGCCATGCATACTCGTCGACATTGACGCCGCAGTGGGGGCACTTCGGGTTCTCTCCGATGGCAGGCCAACGTTCCATAGCTGAGAATTTGTCATCCATTTCTAGTGTGCCTGAATGCGCCATTCGCGGTACCGGATGTAGTGCTGGTTTGGCCTGCCTTAGTATTCCTTAGTATTCAGCCTTGCCTATTAGCGAGGCGTCTTACCGCTCAGGTTTGTGAGTTCCCGTTGAATGAGTAGGGGATACCTTGGTTGCGGCATTCAGGGGTTCCGATACAAGCCCGATCTCTCTTATTCAACGTCATGTTAGCCTACAATCTATTTCTGACATTCACGATTGTCTCCTACGCTTTGAGTCTTCCACGACGATTGCGTTGTTTCAGTGTATTAGCTGCCCGGCGCTCATCAGCTGTTGTGTACAATCGGGGGCGTCCGCGACCCCGTTTCTCCACAACACCAGCTGATACGGTGCTTCCGTCCTATAATACATTATATCAGCGGTTAAAGAGTCATCAGAAGAGGCAGGTAGCACCTCATGAGTATTCACGACAGCTTCAGAATTATTCATGACAGCTTCAGAATTATTATGACAACTTCACACGCCAATTGAAGTCACGAGCCTGCAAGATCAAACACCGTTTTCAACACTGTTTATCTTTTTGAATATGCATATCGCCTCTGAGCCCCGCCGTTAAATATTAGTGCACATCTGTTCTATAATACACTATTAAAGAACCATCAGAAGAGGTGGGTGGCATCCCCCTTGATTGTCCATGACAATATTGTCACGATTAACTCAATAGAGGTCACGAGCCAGTGGTTTCGTTCACCCGCTCCACCTCTCCCCATCTTGCTTCCTCACCTTGTGGCTCCGCCACCGTGGCCAGTGTCACATCTTTTCTCTCAGTCAGGTCCCAGACGTATAGCCGCATCGTCAAGTAAGTAACAACCTCACTTAATATATTCTACAGTTCCCGTTCGAAACAGAGGAGCCGCAGCTTAGCGGCGTTTGGTGTTTCTGGAAAGCAGAGTGTTCTAGCGACTCGCTGCTATTACAGAGACATCAGATGCCCCTGCCCACTCTAATCACTCAGGTCGTGCGGGGTGTTTACACACTGCTGTACCAGGGTGCGAGAGATCTTTCCACTGCGGTATCGCTTTGACTTCCCTTCGCTCGGCATCCCAGGGCAAAGCCCACCGGTAGGCCACGCCCGGCTTTCGACACGTCTCCAACTACTCAGGTCGTGCGGAGTGCTTACACGCTGCTGTACCAGGGTACGATAGATATCTCTGTGTTTGTCGCCTTTGCACCTTTTCGCCCAGCACCCTAGCTCGAAGCCCGATACCAGGCCACACCTGGCTTTACACACGGCTGATCTTCCAACTGCCATCTTACTCCCTTCCTCCACGAAGCCACTTTCCTCCAGCTTGCACTGCATTTGCATTCGCGAACATGAGTTCTGAAGCTGTTGTGACATCGCCTATCCCTGTTCCCAATGCTGAGCGCGCTCACCAAGGCTGGAAAGTAAACCATCAGGGTGTATTCTATATTCGTGCACTTGGGCCACCCACACAGGACGGCCCACTGCGTCCCGGTCGCTTTCTTTCAGGCGCGGAACGAATTGCGAAGGTGGAGGAGGTGATTAGTCCTGTTGTGGATCATTCACTGGATGGAACGTTTCAGAGATGTAAACTGGATCCATCGTACTCGACGCATTACTACCATGCTGTGTTTGATGTATACGTCCTTCCATCCTTAATCCTCATTCCCCGACCATGGCTTCAAAACGCGATTAATTCATGTATACAAAACGACTCCGCACTCCTTCCTCCAGAATATAACCAATTTCCCCATGGAGTGCGACGGTATTTGCGGTGTTTTGTTCATCCTATGCCGCCGCCTATACCATCGCCCGAGCCTATTCCCTTCGCATACCCTGATGGTAAAGCCAGCTGGACTGTAGGAAAGACTTTCGGAGAAGTCTTCCTCAAGAGGCTTGACCCATCCGAGTGGACGAAGTCTATGAGGAAGGCGACAATGGACAATGACCAGGGTATTGTGGAATGCATCTGCGTGCAGCACTACATAGAGAATATCGATTATGCAGCATCAGGATCGCTCGGCATATTGCATGAGATGGCCTCAATATTCGACGATACCCGTTATCGCAACCGTTACAGGCCCGCCGGACCAACGTACCCTCCTGGGGCGGTTCGGTTCTTTTCTCTGTACACTTTGACACAGGATGGACATATCCTGCTGAGATTCCATGGTCATCCGTTCCGCCGCCCGGAGGATGATGATGGTGTTTCATCCGATCCAGAAGAGTTCCTTAGCGAGAACGACTGGGATGAAGAGGAGCCTTCTGCGTCAGCCTCAGAAAGGGATAATTCTCCTGTACTATCAACGTCACGCACCTCTCGCCTCCGCTCCCAGCACGGTGGAAGGCCTAGGGGGCGTTCGCCGCGTCCACAGGTCCCCCCTCAGAGGCCAAGCTCCGTTCACCAGTGGCGTCGACGAAGCCGTTCCCCTCACCAGCGCTCACCTGCACGAAGAAGAGGATCGCCTGGTCTCCCACCAGATTCGTACCATCGCTCTGAGGTGCGAGAGGGTGAGCAGCGTCCACTTCATCGAAGCTCCCGGCGTCCACGTCTGGTGTCTTCCAGATCGCCTTCGCCCCACGAAGTCTCTCGTCCTTCTTCCCGTTTCACGCACCGTTCAGGATCCGGAACCTTTGCACGCCATCGCCATGGGCCTGAAAAGCCTCCATACGCTCCACCACGCCACCACGCCCCGCCTCCAGCCGTGGAAGGTCGATTCCACGAAGCCCGAATGCCATCGGCCCAAGCTTCCGTTCCCATTCCCCAATACCGACCAGAATTCCAGCCTTCTCGTTCACTTCCCTTGCCATCCTCCGCGGAGCCGCCAGCACCTCCGTATGACCCAGAACGTCGTCACCCTCCTCCATCCATGGAAGACGTTCGGTTCAGCGAAGCCCAAATCCCATCGGCCCATACCCCAGTCCCCATCTCGCAGTACCGTCCAGAATCCCCGCCCCATCGTCCACTCCCCCTGCCCTCCTCCTACGATCCACCGCCAAGACTAAGGGCGCCACCACCAGATATCGCACGCTTCATCTCAGTTGAACAGATCATGGCGCAGGACGGAGGAACAACGTCCTTGCTAAGAGATGCTATGGTTATTCGAGGTATGCATAGTATGTCTAGGAATGTTTTAATTGTTATTCTCACACAGTGTGATGTTTTCGCCAGGTGCGCCTCTTCGACCCGTTCAGCCACTTTCCCCCACCCCGAGGCTGTGGCCCACGTTGAAAATTGGAGAACAGAATTATCCCGTAAGCTGATCGCTATCGCCTCATTCCCAGTCTAATACATAAAGGATGTCCTAGGTGGCACGTGAAGCGCGCTTACCGTCAGACGCCGATTCGTATCATGGCGGTGAACACCCATGCTATGTGCTCCTACGATGGATCGTACGCCTCATGGGTGAACGCCACCCCTTCAACGAGGACAAGTGTCCTTAACACCTCTCAAAGATATCGCGAGTTTGTGGACTTTTGTCGGAGACCAGTCAGCTTCGACCCGCTCCGCCTGCACCTCCCGCTTATCGAATGCCATTCCCCTTTTCATTATATCCCGTCGCCTATTCTTAATATTGACTTGCAACGTTCCCCTGACGGTTTGAATTGGCTCCCAACGTCTGAGTGGAGGGAGCGGATTATAGGCACGAACTCGTTGCTGAAACAACTTCTTCGCCACGTTCGGACTACCGTTTCTCATCTCTGCCGCGCAGAAATCCTCCCTTCACATCGTGAAACTATGGCGATACTCAAGCATGAATCGGATGTCTACCTTGAGAAGCTGCTTCAATCCCGGATGATTGCGGAGTCCGAGAACTATCACCATGAAACGGTTGGTGAGATCGAACGTCGGATTGGAGAGCTACGAGGCTATCTTCGTTATTGCCTCCTCGTTTCCCTCGATGCATGCGCCATACTGGGTGGTATGGAACTTCCGACGTGGCCAATTCAAAAATTAGCCATTGGGACCATCTTCGACGGCTCGGACGGCACTCACACCGAGGTCCACGACTCCACCCTCAGTGCTTCTGCTCAGGCTTTTGCCCTCACTCTGGAACGGTGGGGAGTTCCTCATTGGAGGGTGGAATATGGTGAAAAACGCTTTGCAGTCTGTCGATCATGTTCACCGTTGCATGATCATGCAGCAGAACATGCCCTTCAACAGGAGATACGGAGCCGTGCTCAGGCCAAGGCTTCGAACGGCATCATGAAGGGGGATATCACTGTGGGATTCGACTTTGTTGTTACGGAAACCGTTACATGTTCCCGCCCACAGCAATTCCTGCTCGCAGCTCCACAAGATGATCCCCCTACTCAGCGCTTTGCCATGGAACAATGTCTGAAAGCGCTTGCCCCTGAGGGGGATCCTACTCCGTTCAAAAACCTCTCTACCTTAATGAAGGGTGTGCTTCAAGGAGTCTGGCTGGATTTAAAATACGAGGAGGGCCTGCATTTGAGCGCGGCCTTGGAAGGGGCCAAATGGAAGAAAATGAGAGTACCATTCCCCATCGGTGCGCATGCTCCACTGATGGCGGCGTTTATCAAAATCCCTTTCTCGTACTACCAACCTCAACATCCCCTTCCGTTGTCGAATCAGTCCGTACCCTTTACTGGCACGTCCAGTGCTATTTCGTTGTCCGAGGCCGGCTCTGTTACCGCCACTGACACATGGCTAGGCATATCCATACGCCTGTCAGGCCCTACGCTGGAGCTACGTCATGACTTGGAAGCGGTCAAGCAGCGGGGCGTTCTTGCCTACCGAGAAGTGCGTGACCGCACGGTGAATCAGAAAGTGGACAGGTGGGACGGTTCGATGCACTGTCTTAACCTACTCTGCAAGACACAGGAGGAAGCCCAAAGCCTTAAGCGGTACCTCCAAGCAAGATTCCCTGACGCCCTTCTCAGAGATATCAATATGCAGGATTATACCCCAAGCGGGTACATTGGCGTCTATGAGCTTGGATATACTGGTGAAGTCTTTTCTCATGGATTTGACAAAACTACAATCAAAACCCTACTGGATCACGCACCAGCCCCGCTCATCCCTCAGGGCCCCGACACATTACCATCCGAAGCAACAGAGCTATGGACGCGCATGTATTCACAGGATCTCTTCGAATACAATCGCTTCCGGATTATGACGACGACAACCAGCCGAGGGCGTACGCCGTTCAATATGGTGGAGGTGACCTTCAAATGCGAAGTGTTAAAAAAAATATGCCTGCGTAGGCCATTCGAGTTAAGCGAAGAAGAGTACTTTGGCCTCCTTCATTTTTGTCTCATTCTCTGTCGCCTTCACCGCTTCAAACGCGCATTCCGCCAGCGGATCTACCCTGCCGAAGACTCTATTTACCCTCGTGTTGTCCGTTTCATTGCCGATTCTGGGAGGCAGCTTTTCGAGGGCATCGAATTCCGATCAACCGAGATGTTGAAGAGATCAGGAAACCCGCCTCAAGAAGAGTTTGAGTCCATTCGCTGGCAGCCAAAAACTGGTCTTTTTGCGCTCAAAGTTGCAGAGAGCCCTCCTGCTCCCCCAAACAAGCCGACTCCAGAAGAGTTAAGCGGCAAGTAGTAGTCGGAGAGCATCACGCAATAGCTGTCTGTGACCGTTTTCCGTTCACTTTGTATATACTCTAGAATAATTTGTAGCATATAACTTCCCGATGTATTTTACGTTTGCTGAGCTTACGCCTTGCACTTGTGCCCAGCCCATAGGTTTAATAATGACGCGTGCAATATTTTCATTTTAAGATACCTACGTATCCTTCCAATGATCGGTTGTGATGTTTGGGTCACTCAACTGGGCAACATCTGTATCCACGTAGCTATCACATCCTCGTCGTCGTTCACTTCCAACTCGTCAAGCAGTTGGACCACCCTCCTGGCAACCTTTCCTACATCAGCCCCCCTGTCACGAAGCTCGTTTCCAACGGCGCTAATCATTCTCCAGTGTTGAGCGACATCTAAGACTTCAGGAGGTGGCTCCTTCTCGGTAACGTGCAGGGCAATGATGTCGATGTTGACTAGGAGTTCAACGTTTTCTTCCATTAGCGCCTTCAAACGAACCGCCGGCAACATTTTCGATGCAGCCCACCACACTGAGTTTCGTGCACACCTGAACAAGGTGTCAAAGGTGGGAGGCTCACCGCTTAGGCTTGATACGGATGACGGTGCCTCCGACGGTGCCCGGGACGTTGGACCTTCGTTCACAGTGAGGTGCGTACTTCCATTAATCTTCAACACTGGTTGAACTTTGAGGGGAGTACTATGCGGTGTTGGATGGATGAGCCTAATTGGAGGGATGACCATTGGCGTATGTGATTCCGGAACGGCTTGCTCCATGAAGACGTCGTTTTCTGGGTCATCAGGGAGTTGCGGCCCACGCCCTTGCTGGAAGCCTGAGCGTACACCCGATGGGAACGTTGTCAGGTTTATTGCCTCTAACTTTACTGATGATGATGAAGACCCGCCCGGTTCAGGTGAGTTGCGAGGTGGTGTCTCGGGTACGATGCCATCGTCCTGTGGACCTTTCACCTCGTTCTCTGGTACCGCGGCTTCTTTCATTTGGTTGTGGCCCCCAGGTGTCACACGGGGAGGTTTTGCCTTCGTGAGGGTGCGTGCGCGAGTGGCTTTGGACTTCTTGCATCGCTTGGAAGACGGGGATGATATTTGATTATCACCAACCGAATCTCCTTCCATCTCCACAGTTGGGGAGTTTGGCGTGCTGTCCTTACGTTTTTGGGTTCGTGCGGGGACGACCGCTGTCCTCGCAATTGCCCTCCTTGTCTCGTGTTCAGGCAATAGGTATTTCGTAATATTCCCTTTCGCATCTGGTGCATAGTGTAGCACCTCACGCGTCAGGTACTCGTCTGGTAAGCCCAAACCGGTGAGCTGTGTTTTTTTTGAAGTTTCATTGACATTTTCCTCACCATCTGTCATTTGTTCCACCCTCAACGTCTGCTCCGGATCCTGGTGAGTGAGCTGCATTATACACCGTGCAGACTCGTGTGGGGTCCAATCGCACGGTAGTGACTTGTTCAAGCGTGGGACACCACGATGCCAACCAACAAAACGGAGACGATGCTCAAGCATGAATGAAAGTATGTTGGCGACTCTCCAGTTGTGCCCAAGCTCAGTTATCCCTGTTGCCTCCACTACAAGTAGATGTCAGATGAGCAATCAGACGGCACGGCAAAAGGACATACGAATGATTGCTTTAAGCCGCCCAGCACACTCAGTGCGGCGTTGGGGATGCGAGCCGTAGGTCTCGTCTGCAAAGGCGAGGCCTTCCTTCCTTTTTAATGCGGGTGTGTGGTAATCCACGTTGTTCGCATCGCCCTCAACCTCTGATTTGATGGCCGTGTTTCCCGTTCCATTTCCCAAATACCTGTCCAGATCATCGCTGAAATGGACACTTTGCTTCATGTGCATCACGACGGTCTTCATGAGGCTTGAGGCACCAAACACCTCGCTGGTAGATTTATCGGGGTTCGTAAACGCCCCAAGATGTTGAAGAAAGGTTCTGCGCCTATTTCAGCCAATGCGGGCTAGGAGACAAATTGCTCATACCTCTGTTTAATGGCGTCGGGTTGATATGGGCTGGAAGGATATGAGTAAGTTATTTGTGCCTTTCCTGCATAAACCTTGTACCTGAATGCCTTTATCCCGTCGTAGAAGTTCCTCATGGCTAAGGCACTATCCTCTGTGAGGGGTAGGCCCATAGCTTTGACCATTTCCGCAATCATTGGTGAGCTCGTAAATGCGATAGTCGAATCCCGAGGGGCAAGCTTGTCATCTGCTATGAACCCCACTAACGCCACCCCAACAGGATGAATGGAGCTGAGTGCAGCGAGCTATCAGCAAATTTTTCAGTACAATCGATTGCGATAGTTACTGGATTCTGTACTATACCTGAGCAGCATATTTTCCCGTTATTTTCTGCAACAGATAAAGGCCTTCATTTGGTTGAGCCTCCCTCTCGTCCTTCGATAAAACAAGGTCCCCGCAATGTATCAGAATTTTATCATAGAACGCTTTTGCTTCTTCTGCCTGGTCAGGGTACTTCCTATCGATATCCTGTTGCTGTAATTTACGCAGGCATGCTGCTTCTTGACTGTCAATTCCAGCTAGGAAATGATTAGTTCCTAATATCTTGCGAGTATGTGGTTAACTTACGGTGAAGCTTAAGCCATGTTTGCCAAGCCGTTTGGCCCGCTTCAGTGGGATTGTGTAAACGGAACCTCTTCATGACTTCTTGGGGGGACTTCCCTTTTTCTGTGCGTAACCGGCAATGCAAGCTTCTAAAAAAACTGCAGGGGGTCCTTGAGTATTTCTAAACGGTGTAAGCAACAAAGACACCAACGCACCTTCGAGGCTCAAATCATCCGTAACGAGTCCCTTCTCCAGTATATCGCCAATATCTCCGACTGTCTCAATAGATGAATGACCCCATATTTTCTGCACAATCCCCTTCACAATTTGATCGGGGGGGACAAGTGGTTGGAATTGTGGCCTGTCTTCGATGGAAGTATGTTGTGCAATAAGCTCTTTCAACTCTGCGAACGGGCCATCTGTAGCTCTGAGGAAGTTGTTGGCAGTGGAAGCCGTAGTCAACAAGGTCATGCCACTGGAGAAAGTGGCCTGAAGGGTCAGAATTGATGAGTCAAATGCATTTGAAGATGCGTTCTGCGGGAGGGAAGGCATTCTGGGGTGATTTCTTGTTCTACCAGTGATTTTTGGTTTGGGGGGAACGGAAAATTTTCCTCAAATTTGCATCCGAACTATCAATTTTGATCTAGCAACAAGCCTGAAGAGAGGAATTTGTATCTATGCCGTTTCACCAGCCTTTACCCCATTCGACCCATGGTCTACATTGCAACCTTGTATCAGGTAGCAGACACAGAATTCAAATGGAAAATTGGACATTCAGACCCTTTCCTCAATGTTGCACATCTACACCCATCTGCAACCAACTACAGGCCGATTTCCCCTTTAGCACCCCGTTTGACTTGTTCGCCGGTCCAACACAGTGTGCAAGAGCTCTAAGTGGCGCTCCGGAACATCGAGCAGGCCGCGATCGGAGCCGCTATTTGTATTGTAAGTACGGTCAGGGTTTCAATGTAAATAATCGGCATGTGAACGAAATGTCCCTGGATCTGAATCGTGTGTGTCGGCAGAGACAGTGGGGCCCAGGCCGCTTCCCTCAATAACCCAAACAGTGTAATCTGCGCAAGGTCTACGGAGGTCAGGTGTAGTGGGTGGTGGCAGTGCCACCCCCGTTTGACCACATTCATACCCCATCACTCCTATATCACGCGACCATATGCATTCCCCCCAAACGGGACATAGCCACCTGACACAACCTCGGACTTCCCCCGTCGAATCGTCCCTCTTGTATTCGGCTTGTCAAGATAATAGCATCAAATCAAAGTCCATTGTCCCTTACGTATTGGAGGTCAATATCCCCAACACGGTTCAAGTTCCCAACTTGAACAACCCTAGCACGATACATCAGACAATGTCAACTAGTCGGCTTCGTATTGCACCAACATTCATCGCCCATCGAACCCTCGGTGTCATCACCTATGGCAGAAATATGGACCAGTACTTCGGCGATGAGCAATCAATGGCAGGCAAAATAGTTTAGACGAATAAATGAACACCCGATATAAAAAATCGTAAGGTACGACCCTGATCTGTTATGGGCGTAGTAGCTAGCAAACCTTGTGGAAGTATTTTCAATAGTCTCTAACAAAAAAACTGGGATAGAGTCGTCAGTGTTCTCCCTTTCACACTTGCAGCATGTGCGTTGTGGTGTGGGTGGCCCATGGGAAATGGCAATGATAAGCGGAATGGAGAAGACCAGAGAACCTAGGCCACTCAATCGTGGACCATTAGTGCATCGGAATGACGCCCGAGATCGGAGAGCGCGGAACGTAGATTGTTGAGTGACTTAGCCAATCCTGGGGCATGTGCTCCTGGGTCAACAACAACTAGCTGGCGCCGGATTTGAACACATTCTTCAATGGATAGGAGTGCCTCCGAGTGCCGTCCGAGATTGGAAAGAGTTGCATATAGATTGTTGAGTGACGTGGCCAAACCTGGGGTGTATGATCCTGGGTGAACAGCAACTAGCTGGCGTCGGAGTTTGACACTTTCTTCGATGAATGGGAGCGCCTCTGAGTGCCGTCCGAGATTGGAAAGAGCATTGCATAGGCTGCTGAGTGAGATGGCCAAATCCGGGGTGTATGATCCTGGGTGAACGGTAACAAGCTGGCGCCGGAGTTTGACACTTTCTTCGATGAATGGGAGTGCCTCTGAGTGCCGTCCAAGATCAGAAAGAGCGATATGTAGATTATTGAGTGACATAGCCAAATCTGGGGTGTATGATCCTGAATGAACGGCAACCAATTGCCGGTAGAGTTTGGCGCTTTCTTCAATGAATGGGAGTGCCTTCGAGTACCGTCTGAGATTGGAAAGAATGATATATAGATTATTGAGTGACGCGGCCAGATCTGGGGTGTATAATCCTGGGTGAACAGCAACTAGCTGGCGTCGGAGTTTGACACTTTCTTCGATGAATGGGAGCGCCTCCGAGTCCCGTCCCAGATAGGAAAGAGCATTGCATAGGCTGCTGAGTGACATGGCCAAATCCGGTGTGTATGATCTTGGGTGAACGACAACTAGCTGGTGGTAGAGTTTGACACTCTCTTCAATGAATGGGAGTGCCTCCGAGTGCCGTCCAAGATTGGAAAGAATGGTATATAGATTGTTGAGTGACCCGGCCAGATTTGGGGTGTATGATCCTGGGTGAATGGCAACTAGCTGGTGGTAGAGCTTGACGCCTTCTTCAACAAATGGGAGCGCCTCCAAGTGCCGCCCAAGATTGGAAAGAGTGCAATATAGACTGTTGAGTGACTCAGCCAAATCCGAGGTGTAGGTCCCTGGATCCAAAGAAACAAGGTCACGGCAGAGCATAACGGAATCATTCGCTGCTTCATAAGCCTCCTGGAATCTTGAAAAGAATTCCAAATTCCCCACAAGCTGGACAAGCCCATTGGCCAGTGCACAGACAGCATCCTTAGACCGGTGCCCACCAGCGGACTGGAAGATCATGAGATAGTTTCATTACTACAATTGATAACACATACCCACTTAGGTAGTAACGAGATACTAATGTAGCCCTCCATTCTCACACAGACTTCCACCCAGCGAGTTGCTTCCTGACTGAGGAATATGGCAACTGACACAGCAAGCCCCTCCTCCGGTTCCTGGACTCTACTGAGGTGATGGACAATATGGCGACATGCATAATGAAAGTGCTCGGATAACTCCTCTCGAGGAATGCGCGGCATTTCGTCTTTTTTGGACAGATATTCAATCAGTCCTAAGCCCTCTGCAGAGGAAAGATCCTGGATGAGAATCTCGGTACATCGCAGGGCAACCTTGGCATTCTCTGTCTGCACACTTACTGGACCGCAGCTGGGGTTGATTGATCGGGGATCAATCCGATCGACGATGAAGTCACGGAAGGATTGGTGTAAGATTCGAACTGGAGCATGATGATTCCCAACCACTGAGAGGAGAGGTGCGAGTTCTGCCAACACATATTGAACAGAAGATTTGAGGAAAGGTGACAAAATGGCGTCCCAAGCTGCGACAGATAGAGGTTGCTGCGCAACGAAGATTGCTCCCATCACGACTGGGTAGTCATATGCAAATTCTTCATCCTCCCAATCGCACTTCTTCAGAATGCTTGTATACAAACGATCCATCATTCCCTCAGCAGGGACCTTTGATCGTTTGGCACCAGTGTCGAGCAGGCCCTCTAACGTCCTCATAGGATCCTTGTTGGCTGTCCTCATGTAGCGAAAGATGGTGCTGATCCAAACAAACAAGCCATTTGCTTGTTCTGAGATTTCCTGTACTTTCTTATCCTCGTCCTGAAGATTATGGCGTACATCCGGATGTACTTTCTTCAGCACTTGCAGCTGGGAATGTATGTATGTAGTACAGTCCTTCAAATTTGCCCCATCCGAAAGATCAATAGTGAGACGATCGATAGGGCAATTAAGGGAGAGGTAGCGATTCACGAGATCAAATTGTCTCGATGTGATAAAGAATTTTATGGAAGATGGTAGCCTAGGCACCCCTTCCCTAAGAATCTCGGCAAGGGGCTCAAACGCTTCTTTATCACATTCATCTAACGCATCAATGATGATCACCATAGGACGGTCGGGAGATGGAGGTTTATGTCGGAGAGGCGAAGCCACCAAATTCTCGAATTGCTTCGCGAGTAGGGCCGTTGAGAGGGAAGGGTCTTTTCGCAGAGCAGAGATAATGGAAGTGCGGTAAACCGGGTCATGGTCTGCTAAAGCCCGAGCTATGCCGCTGAATAGAGAATCGGGCCGTGACCGTTCGCCAGCTTTAAAGAAGAAGTGCAGTAACAGGGTAACGTCCTCTTCACTCGTACACCGTTCTGCTATCGTGAGTGTAATCGAAGTCTTTCCGGCACCCGCCACAGCTGTCAGTAGCATTAGCCGGTTCTCACTCTCCCCAGTGTTGCGGCACCATGTCATAATATGCTCGGTGAGATCCACCCTAGTGCCTTCTAGGCATGCCTGAGTCGAATCATCGTGGGCGATATGAGGGAATCGAAGACTATCCAAGATTTTGTCATCCTGTAGACGATGTTCTATGGCCGCTAATTTGGCGCCGCCTATTAGGTTCGCCCTAAGCTGCATCGGCCGAAAATCAGAATGATTATGGAACGATACTGTGAGAAAACCTACCTGAAACGATGTCAATGCTTTGTCAAAATCTTTCTTTAGGTCATCGATCCTTCCTGGGTCTCTCAAATAGGATAATGCATTCATGAAAGCCGGGCGTTTCTTTTTTTCCAGTCTTCGATCGATGTCGGACTTGATCTTCCGTAGCGCGCTAGGACTTGATGTAAGCAACGGTGTCGGGGACAACCAAAAAATAAATACAACTTACTCATCAAGCTTCGTGATACTCTCCACCCACGGCTTTGCCTCTTCTGCTGATGGATCATAGGATTTTATGGCTAAAATCACCTCGGTCACAGTGTCGACCACATGTTGACCAAAACCAGCCCATTCCTTCTTGTTGTCCTTGAACTTCTAAGTACGTGGCGCGAACTAGTGTGAGCTTTCATTCAAGGCCGGTCACAAACCATTGCGAACCTGAACCTCGTCGAGGATGGAGAGTGCACCGCCAGTCGCCATTTTTAGCGGGGGACACCAATCAGCCGTATTATTGACAACCCGGAGGATTGGGACGGCTATAGCACCACCCGCTACGAGGAGATCATCGATCTTTTGCCTGAGGACCTCAGCCTTTTGCTGCAATGACATGGTCGATAGCGGACAAGTGGACGGAGAGTGCGCAATACACGTGTGAGCCCCTGATACTCAGAGCCACGGGGCCTCCGCCTGATTATGGAAGGATATGATATATGCATTTACTTTAGTAGAGGCTGGATTCTGCCTAGCATTTAGTCTAATCCGATGTCAACGGCGAATTCTAGCATGCGCGTTGGGATGACCCAGACTGGTTATGACAGCGAGAGAATTAGTATGACCCCTGCTTGCTGACTTATAGGACCTCGTAATCATGCACGAGTTGCAGCGATCGCTTCGTACCGAGGGCCCACGGTAAGCGCCGCTGTGGTACCACGACGTTTCACGACGGTCATCCCGTTCCTCAAGGGGAGTGATCAGCTTTTAATTGAGCTCTTAGGATGCAGGCAAGTGGGTGTCGGCTGTGCGTCAAAGCTTGTCATTTTTCAGCTATCGTTTTCGGAACCCAACCCCAACTTCCCTTTCCTTTTGATCAAGCGCCGCTCTCTAGACTGCGCCCTGAAAGCTCCAGGGCCCCACTGTACGCGTGTCGCGACCATCCCATGTTGCCTCGACCCATTCAAGTTGGCGGTGAGGCTGTTTTCGTGGCGCTTGTGGACCCAATACTTGTTCTACTTGTTGTGCCATGTCATATTCGATCGTGCTCCGGTCACCACTAGTCGGGGTGATTACCCGTTGGTGAATAAATTGGCCTCCACAAGTACTTCGACTACTTCCCAACACATTGATACATACAACAATAATCTCAACTAATATGGCGCCACTGTGCCATGCGATTTCAGCGCAGGTTGGCATTCCTAGCATCTCATCACGGTCGTCCCATCCCTTATCGTAGGGGCGCAATCGGCTTTTATTTAAGCTTTTAAAATGTGGGTGTCGGCTGTGCGCCAAAGCTATTCGGACAGTATGAAAAGGCTTACATTTTTAGCTATCGTTGAAGTCGTTTTCTGCAAACCCAATATATTCCCCTTTCCTTTGTACCCGCGCACCGAAAGCATCCCACGAGGCCTCGACTCATTCGGTGGGGCTGTTCCAGTGCCACTTGTGAGCCAACACTGTACCACTTGGTTGTGGCCCCGATGCGTCACATTCGATCGTGCTCCGGTCATAGGCAGTATCCCAGCCTCTAGACTTCGGTCGTGACCCATCGGTGAATATGATTGGCCGCTACGTATAGAGTACTTCGACTACTTCGCAACGCATTGATAGAAGAGTAGAATCTCATACATTACAGCAAATGCCAGCGATGGAAGCAGAAGCAAACGATGGAAACGGCTGCTTTGCTTCTGCTTCCCTCGCCATCCAATAGTGCGCTGCAGCGACCAATAATAGTACCAATACTGGAAAGTGAGTTTCAGCTGTTCAACAGTTGCACGGGTTGCAGGCCTTATTCTCGTGTCTGAACATTACGTAATAAAATGCTACATTTCAAGTCCAGCAAAACAGAGCGGGACCCAGCCTCAAGCTGGATAACACAACTTTGAGAACCGAGAAAAGGGAAGGGCTGACTAATAATAGCCCAAATAAACCTTCGGTCACCGCTGCTCCCAATGGGAATGCTGCAATGTTCAAGATCAGATCAATATTTTATCTGTATGCTCGCCACAATGACAAGAATGATTGGCCAACGAGACAGAAGAACAAACACCCAATGATCAAAGCTTGAGTGCCATAAGAAGTCTCGGCAAATCAGGCGTTCCAAATCCAGTTGCAGGGTCCCAACCTCTCGTCGCATTGAACCCTGTCGTTCCACAACCTGGGTTGCTACCCGTAGTGATGTCGTTCAGGACTCCCGGTTTGAGAGAGTAAATCCATGGGTTGCTGCCCGTGTTGAGCGTAGCGCTCCGGCGAGCGGGTGCTCGGTGCTCGAGGAAGGGAGAAACAAACAAACGTACAGAAATCCGAGGGGTCCACGACCTTTGGAGAGTAGAGCATCGTTTAAGAGCGCGATCTAAGACGCAAGTATACCTCGTTGCTTAGGCCTGCGAGGAGAGAATGAAAAAGGAAATGGAACTCACTATCGCAGCAGAAGTAGGTGTCGAAGCGCTCGTACCCGAGACAGGTATGACTTTCCCTTGATACACGATGAAATACTGATAGCCCCTGCACAGAGGATGAGTGAGAATCCATCAGTTCAAGCAATCCCTCGAGGATGAAGGAAACCAGACGCAAAAAGAAACTCACTGAGCCGCAACATCAGGATAGGCTCTCCCATTCTTGTTGAACAATCCTTCATACGTGCTTCCGAGTGTTTTAAGGTATCTCGGTACTGCACGGTGTTGGTACCATGGGCGGGGGAAGTAATCACTAAACCCCCCTCCTGAAAAGCGAACTGTTGTTTCGGGAATTTGGTACGTCGCCCCAACAGTTGTGACACTTTAAGCAGCATGACTTGATATTCAGCACAAATATAGGGAAAATACATAGAATACTTACTACGGGCACCCACCAGGGAAGATAGGCACGAACCTATTGGGGGTGAAACAAGCTCCTGTTTCCCCCACGCGGCCTACACCTCCATCGCCCGAGGCATGCAGAGCGCTAACACCCCGCATCCCCAATGCAGCGTAAAGCTTGCACACACGTCGGGCGTAGTTGATTGGAACTGTATCCTCATCCTCACCTGCATATAGATTCGGAAATTCCGCGGTTCCCCACATGAGTGTTAGAGTGAAATTGTTGGGTCCAGGGAAAATAGGATGCAGAGACTCACCATAACTGGTGTCAACACTTGAGGAAGATCCTTCGTTTTCTTCCTGAGGTAAGTGAGAAGAACGTCGTAGCTGTGGATTGTGATTATTTAGTTGAGTCATATGAATATGGGTTTGGCATCCACTCACGGTTCATTCCCATTGTCCTCATAGCTGATGCTCCGGTTCGTATTTTGGCCGCGACCATATGTACTGTAGAGTACTAATTAAGAAGAAATGGTGTTACAATAGTTAAAATGGTAAGCCGTACGTACTTTGCTTGACAGGGTACTGCGATCAAAACAGATTTCATGGGGTAATTGAGTAACCCGGAATCTGCATTGCGCAGAGGTGAAGTAGCTCACCGATATCCCTCCCGCGAATTGGGCATCCAAATTCTGTGAATTTAAGAGGGACGCCAAAAAACCAAGGGATTAGTGTTCAAATTTTATACGTGAAAAGAAAGAGAAAAAGAAAGTGGGAATGGAAGAATCGAGATTCAAAGGAACTTACAGCCTCGATGCCAGCCTCGGAAATGTTCTGAGAGTTGATTGCTCCTATGTAACAACGACAACAAGAGAGAGAAAAAAATGCATCAATGATAACGAAATGCCACAACGATGAACTTTACCGTTGATAAGCCCCACATGGAGGATACTCTTCAGCGCTGGAGGATGGAAAATGGAATAAAACTGTTTGAGGTCAGCAAGGTTCGCATATTGCTCGAGGTACCTAAAAGGAGAAAACATCACATTTTAGTTTAAACAGTTGATGGGAATTCCGAGAGCGAAACAATCAAGATGTGATGATACCTACCCGGTGATACCGATTGAACTTCGCGTTCCTTTAGCCTTGTATGCATCGGTGCAATAGAGCGCTTTAAGCTCTGGGAGTGACATGTTTGGTTGTGGTGATGGTACTGGGGCGGGAGCGCTTTGCTGGTTGAAGGCGCCATCATCAACTATCAGAGACGACAAGAGGTCGACCAGAAGGGGAGTAGTTCGTAGGCTGAACGACGTCGATATGGTCGTGTAGGTGAGCAGGAAGACTATATGACGTTGTACGAATCGCAGTGAGTCTGGTCTCGTGGTTCGCATATATTGAAAAGGTTGTGTCGAGAAGTTTCTCTGCGATTTCAATGGTGGTCTTGAGTGAGATCCAATCACTTGCGGGTGTTCGTTGGAGTGCGTCGCGTGTGATATCGATGCCGTGCGAGACAAGAAAAGATTCGAGCAGGATGATACTTTCTGAGGAGCGGAGAACTCTTCGACCTCTTCTTTGCTTAAGTGCTCAGTCCATCGGGGGCTAGATGGATCGCTTATTTCAAACGGTGAAAGTAAGGCTAGGTGAGCCCAAAACGGAGAGTGATGGGAGTGCGAGGCGAGGAATGCCATGGTGGGTCCATCCCCGAGGCAGTCGGATCGAGCTCTTCTCGACAAAATGGGGTGCTGGAAGTGCGGCGCACACCCAACTCAATAAGGGGAGAGCAGAAACGAGCAATGCCAACGAGGGAACCATTCCGAGACACCTTCCGCTCAACTGCTCAAGGACTGAAAACGGGGGGGACACGAGCGCATTGCAGAGAGGCCAGATGCGATCCTTAAATCCACATCGATCGAGGCGGGGAAAAACAGCCGGACGGATGCCTCTGAGGAACATCTTTGAAGGGAATTAAGCAAAGTGACTTCCCCGCAATAGGTCCCATACAAATTGAACGCCACAAAGTGGATGAGGAACCAAGATGGATCGCTGACGATGTGCAAATGCGGAGTGATCTAAATATAAAGCTAATGTAGACTGCATAATGTACGTATATAGCACACAATATGTGACACGCTTACTTCTTCTCTGCCATAGCCAGTGACCAGCCTCTATGGATTCTGTCATGCACGCGAGATTCACAGCCGATTCCAACAAGATCATAGAACGACGGCGGGTGATGAGACCCACACATCACACGTTCGCTCCGACTCTCCAGCTCCAAAGCGAAGGACTCAGATAGCACTACAGTCAGAAAAAGGGTGTTGGTGTGGCAAGGTTGGCGATCACGAGATTGGTGAGCGATAGTGGCGTTGGGATTGAACTGGGGCCGGCAGGTGGATTAGGTTTAGAACTTGGCTACTAACTAGTCCTGAACTTGTTCCTTGCGCATGTTTCGCTACTAGCCTAAGATTGAAGTGGGTCTCAAGAATTACGTGAATATGCTCGTCTCTCAACTTTCCTGCATGATGTCTGCGTGCTCGGGAAGCTTTCACTATACTACAATGGGCTTAGAGCAGCCAGTACAGTGAGAACGGGTTATGTGACACGAATTTATTTAATTTATCCCCACGGCTACAAGTCGTTCGACATCACTAATATCCTAAACTCCAGTCTAGAGAGTACCTCGCTTACTTACTAGTATATCCTCCAGCTGCATGTGTAGATGGCCTCAATCCTTTTGCTTACCATGTGGCTTTTTTGTCACAACGACGCCGCTTGGTGCTGAAATGCATGCAACAGCAGAGAAATTGCGAATGCTGCCGGTGTCTCCTGCGACCTGACTTCCAGGGTTCGGATAACTAGTACTGTATCATGCTGGACCGGGGCCTAAGAAGGAATGAACATTATACCAATCGGCCGAATGTACACCTACCACCCGTGGACGTTACCAGCCGACTCCGTCCCCTTCTGCTCTGGTTACATGTCCTCAGTACGCTTCCTTGCACTAATGCACCTGGAAAAGACGGAGAATTTCTTTACCTTTTGTTCGTAGGATTTAGGAAGTGGGACTCCCTTCCTTGATGTGGCGTCTCCGTGTTTGAGAGTGCCTCTTACGTATAACCCAGCTTATTCTAGCTACAAGCCCAGACCTTTTTACCACCCCTTAATTAGCTGGTTCCATTGAATACGCATGCAGCTGGTTAGCATATGGCCTTTCGAATCGATCGATCTGTCGATGATCGTTTAACAACGCCTGCGGCTAGCCTGGCTTCTACCGATTGACTCAAATATCGCTAAGACGCCAAGAGGAGATTGTACTTTGGTACTCTAAACGGCATTGGCTAGCTTTGTCTCGCTGTACTCTCGTTGGCAGAATGCTTGCTCTTGACAGGGAACTCCTTCGGGGTGGCATGTGTATAAAATTGGAACGATACATATACTAAGCTAGTCACACCAGATCGGATTATCTAAATCTGGAATCAACGAACATGAGCGCCCGTGTCAATGCCAATTGGTATCAGGATGGATTTTGTGAAACAGCCCCAACAGTAGTCCTATCTAGCGAATGTACGCCGCATCCAAGCTTTTTTGCTCCTTGAGTCCTGGCAACATGGAAGAAAACTCTGTCCCGTCGATACCAGTTCCATAAATAACTATCACTGAGACTAAGGATTGGATGCCTCTTGGAGCCCTCGACTGCTGAACTATGACAAGTCACAGCTCTGAAGTCTTCATCAGGTAGCCCCTGGACCACGACAAGGTGGACATCCTCCCAGGGGAACGTCACCAACAAACGACCACCATAGATCAAGCAAGCAACTATCCCCTCTCCCCCTTCTCCCCCCTCTTAGAGCTTTGACCCCAGAGCCACTGCCGGGTTCAACTGAACCACAACAAGTGGGGACTTTTTAAGAAGTCTTTCGCCCTAAGTCGCATTGGAGTTTCGGATCCCAGAGCCACTGTTGGATTATTCCAATGAATCGCAACAAGTGGGGACTCTAAAGAGATCGTATCCCCGTGAAGCTTCGACCCCAGAGCCACTGTCGGGATCGACTGAACCGCAACAAGTGGGGACTCTTAAGAGGCTTTTGCTGTGGACGCGATATACCCCCACCCCCACCCCCCCTCTTAGAGCTTCGACCCCAGAGCCACTGCCGGGTTCAACTGAACCACGCCAAGTGGGGACTCTTTAAGAAGTCTTCCCCCTAAGTCGCGTTGGAGCTTCGGATCCCAGAGCCACTGTTGGGTTCAACTGAACCGCAACAAGTGGGGACTCTAAAGAGATCGTATCCCCGTGAAGCTTCGACCCCAGAGCCACTGTCGGGATCAACTGAACCGCAACAAGTGGGGACTCTAAGGAGGCCTTTGCTGTAAACGCGATACACAAACATCCCCCCGCCCCTCCCCTCGGAGCTTTGACCCCAGAGCCACTGTCGAGTTCGACTGAACTGCGACAAGTGGGGACTCTTTAAGAAGTCTCTGCCCCGGAAACAACAAGCAACTATCGCCCTAGATTAAGCAACTACCACACTAGATCGAGCAATGGATGCCTCTTGGAGCCCTCAACTGCTGAACCATGACAAGTCACAGTCCTGAAGTCTTCATCAGGCAGCTCCTGGACCACGACAAGGTGGACATCCTCCCAGGAGATCAAGAACTTAGCAACTTACCTCGAATCCGGTCTCATTTTGGCTAGATCTATAAAACTGCAGCTATGCTTGCAGCCTGCCCCTTAATAAGATGAACATATAGACCGTCAGTGACCTTGCTACTCACTTTCATTAATTCCTTCTCTTCTCTTGCATCCATACTGTTCCTATCGAGTGTTAAGATTGTCACTCGGAATTTCTTGTATTGCGTGGTTCTGAACGAGACGTCCACATGTGGGCTTTTTGTCGCTTCGGCGTCCTTCCTAGTAGCCCCGGACTATCTGTAACCTCGGGTCAGTGATGTGCTAGAGAATAACTATGATAGACTTGCCTAAACCCAAAATTCAGGCCAGATCTTCAGATGTAAGATCGCTGCTTCGAACTAATCAGTAGAGCTTGGATCGCCATACCTCTGCTCTCCTTGTTCTGGAGTACCCTTGGAGCAACTTGCCGGTTCCTTGAGATCTGACTAGTTTTAGGTTCCAAAAGTGACGTCCACATGTGTGTGTTTCACCGATTCCGCACTAATGATGCTAGGTGTGAGGATTCAAGAAAACACAATGAAAAGCGATGCTAGCGAGCCAACAGTAGTGCTTACTTAGACTCCGTCTATCATCCCTTTCTCTTACACATAGAGTTCCAGTGGAGGTTCCAGTTGATAACAAAGTACTCGGAGGTTTCAGGTAGCCTAGACAGGCGTCCACATGTGAGTTTTTGGCCAAACGGTGCAAATATAATGATATGCAACTCGCTTTCTTCTCTTCTCTTGTTCGCATACTGTTCCTATGGAGTATTGAGGTTGTCACTCGAAATTTCTTGTTTTCCATCGCTCTGAATGAGACGTCCACATGTGAACTTTTTGCCACTTCGACACCCTTCCTACCTTCCTAATAACTTCAGACCATCCGTAACCTCGGGTCAACGATGTGTTAGAAAATGATAACAACCATGATAGACTTGCCTAAACCCCGGATCATCAGACATAAAGATCACTGCTCAAATCGGCACCGCTTCAGTATTACTCTGGATCACCACACCTCTGCTCTCTTTCTCTTGTTTTAGAGTACCCTGGGAGCAAATCGCCTGCTCCTCAAGATCTGACGAGTGTTAGGTACCAACATAGACGTCCCCAAATGAGTGTTTCACCGATTGCGTATGTACACTGGTGTGAGGATTTAAGGAAATACAGTGGAAAGCGATGCCAGTGAGCAGCGGTGGTGCCGATCCAGGTTCTGTCTATCTTCCCTTTCTCTTACAACATGGAGTTCCAGTGGAGGTTCCAGTTGATAACTGAGTTATCAGGGGTTTCAGGCAGTCTAGATAGGCGTCCACATGTGAGCTTTTGGCCAAACGCTGCAAATTCTATGTAATGCCAACAGATAAGCACCGCAGGTAAATACCAGGGGAGTGCAGATTCGAAGGCGTGCAATGGGAAAAATGCCAGCGAGCATGCAAGACAGTGCCAAACATAGCGTCCGTCAATCACTTCCTTCTCAGCGGGCGTTCTGATTGATGCGCAAACACTTGACCGAACCCGGCCATACGCAGTGTCAACAATGCCAGGAAAATGCACGTCTGAGAGTGCGATAAGAAATGAGCAGCGCCAGATCTAACTTCTGTCTTCTCTTGCATATAGAGTTCCAGTCGAGGTTCCAGTTGATAACCGAGAACTCGGAGGTTTCAGGTAGCCTAGATAGGTGTCCACATGTGAGTTTTTGGCCAAACGCTGCAAATATAACGCCATGCAACTCACTTTTGTTAATTATTCCTTCTCTTTTCTTGTTCGTGTACTATTCCTATTGGGAATTAAGGTTGTCACTCAATCCTGTTCTAAAGGAAGAGTCATAAGCAGGGAACGGCTTCCCTCAGGGAATTACGATAGAATCCACTTTGGCACCGGCCAGCTTAAGGTATGTCACTACTGTTGACGTACGGTCCCACTCTCTATATACGGCAACCGTATTGTCCAATCACGCCCTCGAACTCCTGGCTACGCTTCCTGATTCACTGCGTTTATCTCTCTTGCTGCACCACAAACCGCCATGAATCTCAATCGCGATGGCACACATTCTCATTCTGCGCATCCACGTCTGTTACACAAGACTGTTTTCTCTTTCGGACTGAGTAGACGCCCAGGCTTGATGTACAACAACAGTCGTTTCTTCAGTTTTATACCGACCGAACCTGAGTGAACCTCTCTCTCTCGCTTTATTTGTTCTCGATGCTTAAAAATGGTTTCTCGGGTCTGACGTTAACGCCCTCAAAGCCAGGATTGAGCCTGACCCCGCTCCCATTCGGTATCGGAGAAAGCAGTCAAGATGCCGCGCGGAGGCATGCGATCTGCACACAGAAAGGAGGCTGAGAATACAACTCGATACTTCGTCTATCAACTCTGTCCACCGGGACCACTCTCAATTCTTTACTTCTTTCCGTACCGCAATCCAGCTTCGCAATGCTGATATCCCATGCCTACCATGTACAATGAGTCTTCGTAACCTATCCGCTGCAGATCATCCTTGACACTAGAGCGTTCAGGATGAGATTTCAGTCCTAGGAAGAACCCCCCTCAGCTAGGTTTCCAATTTCTCAACTTGAGGGTGTTTCTGTTTTCAGCGTGGCCATATTTTAAAGTTCGAAACTCTGTCCTTCATCTAGGTTCAACTTGATGATGACGCTTCTGGGCCCGTGACGTACTGGAATAAAGCCTGTGTTGACACAAACCATTTGCTTCTGTGGCGGGAGGATATCATTTTGGTCGCATGCGCGTGTACAGTTTGATGGTCTAGGCTCTCGGCTCCACCGACATGTTTATCTATGCTCCCAATCTTTTACTGTTATTGTCGAGACACCGGACGCGGCTCTAACTGCCAGTTGAGCAAGGATTGCGCAAACTATTCTCGGGGCCGATCTCTCTACCCATTCATGAAACTGACTGTCGAGTGAAAGTTTTTACACATTGAATTATACAACTACAGAGTGTCGTTCTTCCTGTGGACGGTGAGGTCGTATATTGGTATGGGGACCGCACCAGCAGTACAAGCCATCACTCTCCGGGGTCTACTCACTTGGTCTGATTAACACCATTTCCCCTCAAGATCCACTCTGAAGCCTTCCTAGCTTGTTCCTCCTGTTGTTCCTTCGTCAATTCACTCACAGCGGGGCGTTTCTCAGGTACGTTAAGGCCTGCCTGAACACCTGGACTGTTGGCAATTCTATTGAGCCATTTCTGTCGATGGACTCGTTAGTCGTGAAGGAATGAAGAACGAGATGTGAGACGTACGGCGAGGTTAGGGAAATCATCGAGGTTATCGATGCCCGACCATGCCCAACCTTTGACCCTATTCCAATGTTCAACAATTAATTAACGCTATCGACTCCTTTAGGATGACGATGACGGGCCGAGTTGGACGTACCAAGGCCAAACGTTGATATCAGCGATAGAATACTTCCCCTTCCCAGATCCAACTAGATAGTCTCGACCTTCACCTTGGGTCAACCTGGCCTCGAGGACGCTATAAAGGCGTTTCGTTTCGGTTATGTAACCTAGGTGGATTCATTTCCCAGAAAAGAGATGACGGGAATGGTAGCTTGTTCACTTTCACGAAGGTGAAAGAGAGTGAGGAAGGCGCACATACGGTTTATACCATAGGGGATTTTTTCGGGTGCGTAGCGGTAGAAGTGATTCGCTTGACCTGTTATCGAGCCAGAGGATTTAATTATAACGAAATCTCGACGATCTCCAGACTTGACGAACCTTGCATCGGACCAACACCACCATGCTATATGAACAAATCCAAGAAGTTGCGTCAGACTATAGCACGTTAACACCACATCTGAAAAAATAAACTCACAGCAAAGAATATCCACTGAAGAGCTTCAGATTCCTCATCCGATCCGATCTCAAAACTGATCTTTCTCTCTGGATCCCATCGCTGAACGAGATAAAGAAGTATGGCGGCTGTTTCGAAAACGTTAAAGTGCGATCCATCTGGGCGGTGGTGGGTCACTGCCGGAATTCGACCATTCGGGTTTATTTGAAGGAACCATGGTTCTTTCTGTTCCAATTTGCTGAAGTCCAGTTTCTAAACGGCGGGGGTATGGGATACATTGAGTGCGCGTGATTGGAACGTGAACTTGTGGTGCATACTTTGAAATCGTAGCTCAGTCCTCCATCGGGGTACAATTCTTTGAGAGCCTCTGTGAGATGTAAGAGAAACCCAAATAATTAGCGCTCGCAATCGCCACACAGGCTAGCCCATCCGCACCAAGTGCTATGGAGACTTTGTGGCCATTAGGGGTCGGAGCAGTGTAAAGGGTCAAAGTAGGCGTCGACATGATCGAGCGAGTAGACAAGAGCCTAGCGAATGCGATACGGAGCCTCGAAGTGCAGTGCAGGGTGAAGGAGCTTTGGGAGATTTCAAGGGGCTGGTCGTATGGAGGAGCAATGAAGGGCTTTGGGGTCATTTATATAGCAGAAATCTCAGTTATCCACCACCATGTGGAGGTGTCATGCATGACAAGAGTGGGTCCCTTAGGCTGCCGGGTTTATTGCTGGTAAGATCAACTTGAGGGGTGAGCCGATCTGGAACTCATTCCGGAAATCATGCACACGTCGTCGCCGGCAGCGCTCAACTCACCTACTGGTTATGAGTGAATCTGAATTGACGCAGAGGTGGATTCGTAAGGCATGAAGAAATGAATAAGGATTCATCATATTTGTTTGGGAGAATGACTAAGCGTATTACAGATACAAAACTGAATATCTAATTCAAGCAGCAAACTGGGAAATGAGAGGATCGCTGTGCCTTTGGGACGCTTAGACGTTGGACCATTTGTGCCTCAGAATGATGTCCGAGAGTGAAAAGAGCATCACGTAGAGTTCTATATTGATAGAGGCTGGTAACCTGTCTAGATGAAGGTCCTAAATAATTGCAACGAACCGTGGACGATGATACAGAGGAAGACGATGACAATTAATGGGAAACCGGATGACAATGATGAAGGTGGAAAGACGATTTGTTCATCAATGATCGCCTTGACGGAGGGATCGGACGAGAGGAAAGAGATGGACGTATGGAGGAGTGGGATGAGCTGTTGGGACAAAACCGACGAGTCTTCGAAAGAAGGGAAAGATTGTATTACGTATGCCGCTAGTGGATTTATATTTGCAAAGAATTTTCCAGGCTGTTTGTAGGGTGGCAAACCTGAATGACCCAGGCTACGTCATGAAGTTCGTTCGAGGTGGTGAGGGAAATGGTTTGAATCAGGAGTGGTCCGGTCGAAGGGTGCCATGTCGGGGATGGGTACTGTGCCAAAGCCGAGTGGGGGTGTTCGAGTCGTCGGAGTCGTTCAAGTTAGAAAGTGAGGTAGTGCCAGTGACACAACCATTAAGAAAGCGTGGCGGGTAAGAGCATCGCCAGACGTGTCTTCAGAAACTAGAATGCCAGGAGCATTAGCACCCACAATCCCATTGAAACCGGAGATGGGACAGATCATACGGGACTTACCAAGTATGATCCCACCTTATCCTCCGCCACCGCAAATGCCGTTAGTACAGTCGACCAAGTTCCCATTCACGACTCCCCGATACAACTACTCAACCGCAACGAATCCACGATCTTCATCAGCGTCGCAATCGTACGTACTCCCACAACGATCCTAACAACAATGTCTTGCATAATTTCTGAAGCGCATCGAAGTCGGTGGTTATTCGACGGTCGATAGAGTCCAAGCGAGAGTTCCTTTCGTATGCTAGAAGGGATTGCTGATGGCGCTACTGGTGGAAGGGATGACGGGAGGGAGGGGATGACGGTTGCAACAGCTGCCCATTGGGGTGTAGTGAAGCGTTCCGAGATTACGCACGGTGGGATAACGACAGTGATGGTTCAGGAGGAAGGCAGAAAGAAGACTGGCAAACAAAGCCAGGGGCGCGCAGTTAAATGGGCAGGTTGGAAATGAATAGGCCTCTAAATGCACCATCAAGTCGGTGTTAAAAAAAAGGAAGCTAGAGGCCTTATCGATTAGTCGCGGTGGCGTCCGGGGTGCGAAGGGATCAGTGAAGGTTCGACCCTCATGTTCCTAAATAACATGATCCTTCTTAGCGTGCTCCAAGGAATTCAGGGTAGTAAGCAGTTCGGTGTCAGGTTGTCAGAGAAATGCCGAGTTCGCCGAGTCGAGGTCGACATCCGAGGTTGGGTTACCTGCCATACCTTGACATTACACAACCTCGAACTTCCCCCGTCGAATCGCCCCTCTTGTATTCAGCTTGTCAAGATAATAGCATCAAATCAAAGTCCGTTGTCCCTTACGTATTGGAGGTCAATATCCCCAACACAGTTCAAGTTCCCAACTTGAACAACCCTAGCACGATACACCAGACAATGTCAACTAGTCGGCTTCGTATTGCACCAACATTCATCGCCCATCGAACCCTCGGTGTCATCACCTATGGCAGAAATATGGACCAGTACTTCGGCGATGAGCAATCAATGGCAGGCAAAATGGTTTAGACGAATAAATGAACACCCGATATAAAAAATCGTAAGGTACGACCCTGATCTGTTATGGGCGTAGTAGCTAGCAAACCCTGTGGAAGTGTTTTCAATAGTCTCTAACAAAAAAACTGGGATAGAGTCGTCAGTGTTTTCCCTTTCACACTTGCAGCATGTGCGTTGGGGTGTGGGTGGCCCACGGGAAATGGCAATGATAAGCGGAATGGGGAAGACCAGAGAACCTAGGCCACTCAATCGTGGACCATTAGTGCATCGGAATGACGCCCGAGATCGGAGAGCGCGGAACGTAGATCGTTGAGTGACTCGGCCAATTCTGGGGCATGTGCTCCTGGGTTGACAGCAACTAGCTGGCGCCGGATTTGGACACATTCTTCAATGGATAGGAGTGCCTCCGAGTGCCGTCCGAGACTGGAAAGAGTTTGTTGAGTGACCTGGCCAAACCTGGGGTGTATGATCCTGGGTGAACAGCAACTAGCTGGCGTCGGAGTTTGACACTTTCTTCAATGACTGGGAGCGCCTCTGAGTCCCGTCCCAGCTTGGAAAGAGCGTTGCATAGGTTGCTGAGTGACATGGCCAAATTCGGGGTGTATGATCCTGGGTGGACGACGACTAGCTGGCGGTAGAGTTTGACACTCTCTTCAATGAATGGGAGTGCCTCTGAGTGCCGTCCAAGATTGGAAAGAGCAATACATAGATTATTGAGTGACATAGCCAAATCCGGGGTGTATGATCCTGGATGAACGGCAACTAGTTGCCGGTGGAGTTTGACGCTTTCTTCAATGAATGGGAGTGCCTCCGAGTGCTGTCTGAGATCGGAAAGAATGACATATAGATTGTTGAGTGATCCGGCCAGATTCGGGGTGTATGATCCTGGGTGAACAGCAACTAGCTGGCGCCGGAGCTTGACACTCTCTTCAATGAATGGGAGTGCTTCTGAGTGCCATCCAAGACTGGAAAGAGCAATACACAGATTATTGAGTGACATCGCCAAATCTGGGGTGTATGATCCTGGGTGAACAGCAACTAGCTGGCGGTAGAGTTTGACACTTTCTTCAATAGATGGGAGCGCCTCCGAGTGCCGCCCAAGATTGGAAAGAGTGCGACATAGACTGTTGAGTGACTTGGCCAAATCCAAGGTGTAGGTCCCTGCATCCAGAGAAACAAGGTCACGGCAGAGCATAACGGAATCGTTCGCTGCTTCATAAGCCTCATGGAATCTTAAAAAAAAAAACAAATTCCCCACAAGCTGGATAAGCTCATTGGCCAATGCACAGATAGCATCCTTGGACCGGTGCTCAACAGCTGACTAGAAGATCATGAGGTAGTTTCATTAATGCAATTGATAAGACATGCCTTAGCCCACTTAGGTAGTGACGAGATACGAATGTAGCCCTCCATTCTCACACAGACTTCCACCCAGCGAGTTGCCTCCTGACTGAGAAATGCGGCAACTAACCCAGAAAGCCCCTCCTCCGGTTCCTGGACTCCGCTGAGGTGATGGACAAGATAGCGACATGCATAGTGAAAGTGCTCAGATAGCTCCTCTGGAGGAATGCGCGGCATTTCATCTTTTTCAGACAAATTTTCAATCAGTCCTAAGCCCTTTACAGTGGAAAGATCCTGGTTGAGAATCTCGGTACATCGCAGGGCAACCCTGGCATTCTCGGTCTTCACATCTATTGAACTGCAACCAAGGCCGATTGATCGGGGGTCGATTCGATCCAGAATAAAGTCGCGGAAGGATTGATGTAGGATGCGAATCGGAATGTGAGGGTCCTCAACCCCCGAGAGGAGAGGTGCAAGTTCGGCTAACGTATATCGAACAGAGGATTTCAAAAAAGGTAACAAAATCCTATCCCAGCTTGCGATGGACAGAGGCCGCTGTGCAATGAAGATTGCTCCCATCACAATCGGGTAGTCATGCGCAAAACCTTCAATCTTCCAATTACACCTCTTCAGAATGTTTGTGTACAAGCGATCCATCATTTCCTCAGCGGGGACCTTTGATCGTTTGGTACTGGTGTCAAGCAGGCTCTTTAGTGTCACCATAGGATCCTCGCTGGTCGTCTTCATGTAGCGAAAGATGGTGCTGATCCAGATAAACAAGCCATTTGCACGTTCTGAGATCTCTTGTACCGATTTATCTTCATCCTGAAGATTATGGCGTAAATCCGGATGTACTTTCCTCAGCTTTTGAAGCTGAGAACGTATGTATGCAGCGCAGTCCTGCATGTTTGTCTCATCCGAAAGATCAATAGTGAGACGATCGATAGGGTAATTGGGGGAGAGGAAGCGATTCACGAGATCAAATTGTCTCGATGTGATAAAGAATTTAATGGAAGATGGTAGCTTGGGCACTTCCTCCCCAAGTATTTCGGCAAGGCGCTCAAACGCTTCTTTGTCACACTCGTCTAAAGCATCGATGATGACCACCATCGGATGGCTGGGAGGTGGAGGTTTGTGGAGGAGAGGCGAAGCCACCAAATCCCTGAATTGCTTCGCAAGTGGAGCTGTTGAGAGGGAAGAGTCTTTTCGAAGAGCAGAGATAATGAAAGTGCGGTAAACCGGGTCGTGTTCTGCTAAAGCCCGAGCTATGCCACTGAATAGAGAATCGGGCCGTGACCGTTCGCCAGCTTTAAAGAAGAAGTGCAGTAACAGGGTAACGTCCTCTTCACTCGTACACCGTTCTGCTATCGTGAGTGTAATCGAAGTCTTTCCGGCACCCGCCACAGCTGTCAGTAGCATTAGCCGGTTCTCACTCTCCCTAGCATTGCGGCACCATGTCATAATATGCTCAGCGAGATCCACCCTAGTGCCATCTAGGCATGCCTGAGTCGAATCATCGTGGGCAATATGAGGGAATCGGAGACTATCCAGAATTTTGTCATCCTGTAGTCGACGTTCTATGGCCGCTAATTTGGCCCCGCTTATTAGGTTCGCCCTAAGCTGCATCGGCCGAAAATCAGAATGATTATGGAACGATACTGTGGGAAGACCTACCTGAAACGATGTCAATGCTTTGTCAAAATCTTTCTTTAGGTCATCGATCCTTCCTGGGTCTCTCAAGTAGGACAATGCATTAATGAAAGCCGGTCGTTTCTTTTTTTCCAGTCTTCGATCGATGTCGGACTTGATCTTCCGTAGCGCGCTAGGACTTGATGTAAGCAACGGTGTCGGGGACAACCAAAAAATAAATACAACTTACTCATCAAGTTTCGTGATACTCTCCACCCACGGCTTTGCCTCTTCCGCTGATGGATCATAGGATTTTATGGCTAAAATCACCTCGGTCACAGTGTCGACTACATGTTGACCAAAACCAGCCCATTCCTTCTTGTTGTCCTTGAACTTCTAAGTACGTGGCGCAAACCAGTGTGAGCTTTCATTCAAAGCCGGTCACAAACCATTGCTAACCTGAACCTCGTCGAGGATGGAGAGTGCACCGCCAGTCGCCATTTTTAGCGGGGGACACCAATCAGCCGTATTATTGACAACCCGGAGGATTGGGACCGCTATGGCACCACCCGCTACGAGGAGATCGTCGATCTTTTGCCTGAGGACCTCAGCCTTTTGCTGCAATGACATGGTCGATAGCGGACAAGTGGACGGAGAGTGCGCAACACACGTGTGAGCCCCTGATACTCAGAGCCACGGGGCCTCCGCCTGATTATGGAAGGATATGATATATGCATTTACTTTAGATTCTGCCTAGCATTTAGTCTAATCCGATGTCAACGGCGAATTGCAGCATGCGCGTTGGCATGACCCAGACTGGTTATGATGGCGAGAGAATTAGTATGACCCCTACTTGCTAACTTATAGGACTTCATATGCAAGTCGTAATCAGGCACGAGTTGCAGCGATCGCTTCGTACTGAGGGCCCACGGTAAGCGCCGCTGTGGTTTCACGACGGTCATCCCGTTCCTCAAGGGGAGCGATCAGCTTTTAATTGAGCTTTTAGGATGCAGGCAAGTGGGTGTCGGCTGTGCGTCAGAGCTTGTCATTTTTCAGCTATCGTTTCCTGGAACCAACCCCAACTTCCCTTTCCTTTTGATCAAGCGCCGCTCTCTAGACTGCGCCCTGAAGCTCAGGGCCCCATTGTATGCGTGTCGCGACCATCCCATGGCGCCTCGACCCATTCAAGTTGGCGGTGAAGCTGTTTTCGTGGCGCTTGTGGAACCAATGCTTGTAGTGCCACGTGATATTCGATCATGCTCCGGTCACCACCAGTGGGGGTGATTACCCTCGGTGAATAAATTGGCCCCCAGTTCCCAACACATCGATACAACGATAATCTCAACTAATATAGCGCCGCTGTGCCATGCGATTTCAGCGCAGGTTGGCATTCCTATCATCTCATCATGGTCGTCCCATCCCTTATCGTAGGGGCGCAATCGGCTTTTTTCCTTTAAAATGTGGGTATCGGCTGTGCGCCAAAGCTTTTCGGACAGAATAAAAAGGCTTACATTTTCAGCTATCATTGAAGTCGTTTTCTGCAAACCCAATATATTCCCCTTTCCTTTGTACCCGCGCACCGAAAAGCATCCCACGAGGCCTCGACTCATTCGGTGGGGCTGTTCCAGTGTCACTTGTGAGCCAACAGTGTACCACTTGGTTGTGGTCTCGATGCGTCACATTCGATCGTGCTCCAGTCATAAGCAGTATCCCAGCCTCTAGACTTCGGTCACCGCTGGGGGTGACCCATTGGTGAATAAGATTGGCCGCTACGTATAGAGTACTTCGACAACTTCGCAACGCATTGATAGAAGAGTAAAATCTCATGCATTACAGCAAATGCCAACGATGGAAACAGCTGCTTTGCTTCTGCTTCCCTCGCCATCCAATAGTGCGCTGCAGCGACCAATAATAGTACCAATACTGGAAAGTGAGTTTCAGCTGTTCAACAGTTGCACGGGTTGCAGGCCTTGTTGTCGTGTCTGAACATTTCAAGTCCAGCAAAACAGAGCGGGACTCAGCCTCAAGGATAACACAACTTTGAGAACCGAGAAAAGGGAAGGGCTGACTAATAATAACCCAAATTGACCTTCGGTCACCGCTGCTCCCAATGGGAATGCTGCAATGTTCAAGATCAGATCAATATTTTATCCGTGTGCTCGCCACAATGACAAGAACGATTAGCCAACAACGAGACAGAAGAACAAAACACCCAATGATCAAAGTTTAAGTGCCTTAAGAAGTCTCAGCAAATCAGGCGTTCCAAATCCAGTTGCAGGGTCCCAACCTCTCGTCGCATTGAACCCTATCGTTCCACAACCTGGGTTGCTACCCGTAGTGATGTCGTTCAGGACTCCCGGTTTGAGAGAGTAAATCCATGGGTTGCTGCCCGTGTTGAGCATAGCGCTTCGGTGAGCGGGTGCCTGAGGAAGGGACAAACAAACAAACGCACAGAAATCCGAGGGGTCTGCGACCTTTGGAGAGTAGAGCATCGTTTAAGAGGGCAATCTAAGACGCAAGTATACCTCGTTGCTTAGGTCTGCGAGGAGAGAATGAAAAAGGAAATGGAACTCACTATCGCAGCGAAAGTAGGTGTCGAAGCGCTCGTACCCGAGACACATATGACTTTCGCTTGATACACGATGAAATACCGATAGCCCCTGCACAGAGGATGAATGAAAATCCATCAGATCAAGCGATCCCTCGAGGATGAAGGAAACCAGACGCAAAAAGAAACTCACTGAGCTGCAACATCAGGATAGGCTCTTCCATTCTTGTTGAACAATCTTTCATACGCGCTTCCGAGTGTTTTAAGGTATCTTGGCACTGCACGGTGTTGGTACCATGGACGGGGGAAGTAATCACTGAATCCCCCTCCTGAGAAGCGAACTGTTGTTTCAGGAATTTGGTACGTCGCCCCAACAGTCGTGACGCTTCAAGCAGCACGACTTAATGTTCGGCACAGCTATAGGGAAAGTACATCGAAAACTCACTATGGGCACCCACCAGGGAAGATAGGCACGAACCTATTGGGGGTGGAACAAGCTCCTGTTTCCCCCGTGCGGCCTACGCCTCCATCGCCCGAGGCGTGCAGTGCGCTAACACCCCGCGTCCCCAGTGCAACGTAAAGCTTGCACACACGTCGAGCGTAGTTGATTGGAACTGTATTCTCATCCTCACCTTCATATAGATTCGAAAATTCCGCGGTCCCCACATAAGGGTTAGAGTGAAATTTTGGGGTCCAGGGAAAACAGGATGCAGAGACTCACCATAACTGGTAGTCAACACTTGAGGAAGATCCTTCGTTTTCTTCGGAGGTAAGTGAGAAAAACGTCGTAGCTGTGGATCGTGATTATTTAGTGGATTCATATGAATACGGGTTTGGCATCCGCTCACGGCTCATCCCCGTTATCCTCATAGCTGATGCTCCGGTTCGTATTTTGGCCGCGACCATATGTACTGTAGAATACTAATTAAGAAGAAATGATGTTACAATAGTTAAAATGGTACTGATTTAAGCCGTACGTACTTTGCTTGACAGGGTACTGCGATCAGAACAGATTCCATGGGGCGATTGAGTAACCCGGAATCTGCATTGCACAGAGGTGAGGTAGCTCATCGATATCCCTCCCGCGAATTGGACATCCAAATTCTGTGAATTTAAGAGGAACGCCGAAAGACCAAGGGGTTAGTGTCTAAATTCTACACATCTAAGGGCGTGAAAAGGAAGAGAAACAAAAAAAGCGGAGAAAGTGGGAATGGAAGAAGCGAGATTCAAAGGGACTTACAGCCTCGATGCCAGCTTCGGAAATGTTCTGAGGATTGCTCCTACGTAACAGCGACAACAAGAGAGAGAGAAAAAAGGTATCAATGTTTGCTTCGATGATAACGAAATGCCACAACGATGAACTTTACCGTTGATAAGCTCTACATGGAGAGTACTCTTCAGTGCTGGACGATAGAAAATGGAATAAAGTCAGCAAGGTTTGCATATTGCTCGAGGTACCTAAAATGAGAAAACATCATATTTTAGTTTATACAGTTTTCTAATGAGGATTCCGAGAGCGAGACAATTAAGATGTGATGATACCTACCCGGTGATACCGATTGAACTTCGCGTTCCTTTTAGACTTGTATGCATTGGTGCGAGACAAGGAAAGATTCGAGCAAGACGATGCTTTCAACTCTTCGACCTCTTCTTTGGTCAAGTGCTCAGTCCATCGGGGGCTGGATGGATCGCTTATTTCAAGCAATGCGAATTCAATCTGGTGAAAGTAAGGCTGGGTGAGCCCAAAACGGAGAGTGATGGGAGTGCGAGGCGAGGAATGCCATGGTGGGTCCATCCCCGAGGCAGTCGGATCGAGCTCTTCTCGACAAAATGGGGTGCTGGAAGTGCGGCGCACACCCAACTCATAAGGGGAGCAGAACGAGCAATGTCAACGAGGGAACCATTCCGAGACACCTTCCGCTCAACTGCTCGAGGACTGAAAACGGGGGACACGGGCGCATTGCAGAGAGAGGCCTTAATCCACATTGTGGTAGGGAAGAATAGCCGGACGGATGTCTCTGAGGAACATCTTTGAAGGGAAGCAAAGTGACTTCCCCGCAAGAGGGAGGTGCAACTCCTATACAGTTCGAACGCCACAAAGTGGATGAGAAATCAAGAGGGATCGCTGACGATGTGCAAATGCGGAGTGATCTAAAGTTAATGTAGACTGCATAATGTACGTATATAGCACACAATATGTGACACGCTTAATTCTTCTCTGCCATAGGCAGCCAGTGACCAGCCTCTATGGTCTCCGTCATGCACGCGAGACTCACAACCGATTCTAACAAGATCATATAGCACAGACGGAACGAGGGCGGGGATGAGACCAACGCATCGCACGTTCGCTCCGACCCTCCAGCTCAAAAGCGAAGGACTCAGAGAGCACATTACAGTCAGAAAAAGAGTGTTGGTATGGCGAGGTTGGGTGTTGGAATTGGAGGGACTGGTATTTGGATTAGGTTTAGAACTAGTCCTGGACCTGTTCCTTAGATATGTTTCGCTACTCGCCCAAGATTGAAGTGCGTCTCAAAAATTACGTAAATATCCTCTCCTTTCAACTTTCCTGCATGATGTCTGCGTGCTCGGGAAGCGTTCACTATACTCCAAGGTGCTTAGAGCATCTGGTGAGAAGAGGGAAAGCCAGGACATGTGACACGAATTTACTTAATTTATTCCCACGGCCACAAGTCGTTCGACATCACTAATATCCTAAACTCCAGCGCCACTTTATATCCTCCAGCTGCATGTGTAAAGGGCCTCAACGTTTTTACTTACCAAGAACTTTTCTGTGGCTCGTTTGTCCAACGACACCGCACGGGTGCTGAAAAGTAAGGACAGAGAAAAGCACAGAAGCTGTGAATGCTGCCGGCGTCTCGTACTCACCAGCCGACTCCGTCATCCCTCTGCTCTGGTTGTGTGTCCTTAGTACGCTTTCTTGCACTGACGCGCCTGGCAGGCATGGGCCTTCTATGTCCATGGGCAACTGCGCCGAGATTTGGAATATTCTAGGTATTTATTTGTTCGTAGGATGTAGGAGGTGGGACTCCCTTAATACCTTGCTGTGGCGTCTCCGTGTTTGAGAGTACCTCGTACATGTCGATCTGTATGACCCAACTCATTCTAGCTACAAGCCTAGACCTTTTTACCACCCCTTGATTAGCCGGTTCCACTGAATACGCATGCAGTTGGTTAGCATATGGCCTTTCAAATAGATCGATCTGTCGATGATCGTTTAACAATACCTGCGGCTAGCCTGGCTTCTACCGATTAACTCAAATATCGCGAAGACGCCGAGAGGAGATTGTACTTTGGTACTCTAAACGACATTGGCTAGCTTTGTCTTGCTGATCTCTCGTTGGCAGAATGCTTGTTCTTGACAGGGAACTACACATGCCTCCTTCGGGGTGGCATGTGTATAACAGTGGAACGATACATACACTAAGCTAGTCACACCAGATCGGATTATCTAAATCTGGAATCAACGAACGTGAGGGCCCGTGTCAATGGCAATTGGTATCAGGATGGATTTTGTGAAACAGAGTTCTATCTAGCTAACCTACGCCGCATCCAACCTTTTTGCTCCTTGAGTCCTGGCAACATAGAAGAAAACTCTGTCCCGTCGCTACCATCTCCATAAATAACTATCACTGAGACTAGGATTGGATGCCTCTTGGAGCCCTCGACTGCTGAACTATGACAAGTCACAGCTCTGAAGTCTTCATCAGGTAGCCCCTGGACCACGACAAGGTGGACATCCTCCCAGGGGAACGTCACCAACAAACGACCACCATAGATCAAGCAAGCAACTATCCCCTCTCCCCCTTCTCCCCCCTCTTAGAGCTTTGACCCCAGAGCCACTGCCAGGTTCAACTGAACCGCAGCAAGTGGGGACTCTTTAAGAAGTCATTTCACCCTAAGGCGCGTTGGAGTTTCGGATCCCAGAGCCACTGTCGGATTATTCCAATGAGTCGCGGCGGGTGGGGACTCTGAAGAGATCGTACCCCCGTGAAGCTTTGGCCCCAGAGCCACTGTCGGGATCGACTGAACCGCAACATGTGGAGACTCTTAGAGGGCTTTTGCTGTGGACGCGATACATCCCCTCCCCCCCCCTCTCTTAAAGCTCCGACCCCAGAGCCACTGCCGGGTTCAACTGAACCGCAGTAAGTGGGGACTCTTTAAGAAGTCTTTCGCCCTAAGTCGCGTTGGAGTTTCGGATCCCAGAGCCACTGTCGGATTATTCCAATGAATCGCAACAAGTGGGGACTCTAAAGAGATCGTATCCCCGTGAAGCTTCGACCCCAGAGCCACTGTCGGGATCAACTGAACCGCAACAAGTGGGGACTCTTAAGAGGCTTTTGCTGTGGACGCGATATACCCCCACCCCCACCCCCCCTCTTAGAGCTTCGACCCCAGAGCCACTGCCGGGTTCAACTGAACCACGCCAAGTGGGGACTCTTTAAGAAGTCTTCGCTCTAAGTCGCGTTGGAGCTTCGGATCCCAGAGCCACTGTTGGGTTCAACTGAACCGCAACAAGTGGGGACTCTAAAGAGATCGTATCCCCGTGAAGCTTCGACCCCAGAGCCACTGTCGGGATCGACTGAACCGCAACAAGTGGGGACTCTAAGGAGGCCTTTGCTGTAAACGCGATACACAAACATCCCCCGCCCCTCCCCTCGGAGCTTTGACCCCAGAGCCACTGTCGGGTTCGACTGAACTGCGACAAGTGGGGACTCTTTAAGAAGTCTCTGCGCCGGAAACAACAAGCAACTATTGCCCTAGATTAAGCAACTACCACACTAGATCGAGCAATGGATGCCTCTTGGAGCCCTCGACTGCTGAACCATGACAAGTCACAGTCCTGAAGTCTTCATCAGGCAGCTCCTGGACCACGACAAGGTGGACATCCTCCCAGGAGATCAAGAACTTAGCAACTTACCTCGAATCCGGTCTCATTTTGTGCTCGCTAGCCTGGCTAGATCTATAAAACTGCAGCTGTGATAGCCTTGCGGCCTACCCCTTAATAAGATCAACTTATAGACCGCCGGCGACCTTGCTACTCACTTTCATTGATTCCTTCTCTTCTCTTGCATTCATACTGTTCCTATCGAATGTTAAGATTGCCACTCGGAATTTCTTGTATTCCATAGCTCTGAACGAGACGTCCACATGTGGGCTTTTTGTCGCTTCGGCGTCCTTCCTAGTAGCTCCGGACTATCTGTAACCTCGGATCAGTTATGTACTAGAGAATAACTATGATAGACTTGCCTAAACCCAAAATTCAGGCCAGATCTTCAGACGTAAGATCGCTGCTTCAAACTAATCAGTAGAGCTTGGATCGCCATACCTTTGCTTTCCTTCCCTTGTTCTGGAGTACCCTTGGAGCAACTCGCCGGTTCCTCGAGATCTGACCAGTTTTGGGTTCCAAAAGAGACGTCCACATGTGTGTGTTTCACTGATTCCGCACTAATGATGCTAGGAGTGAGGGTTCAAGAAAACGCAATGAAAAGCGATGCTAGCGAGTCAACAGTGGTGCTTACTTAGACATCCCTTTCTCTTACACATAGAGTTCCAGTGGAGGTTCCAGTTGATAACAAAGTACTCGGAGGTTTCAGGTAGCCTAGACAGGCGTCCACATGTGAGTTTTTGGCCAAACGGTGCAAATATAATGATATGCAACTTACTTTCTTCTCTTCTCTTGTTTCTATACTGTTCCAATGGAGTATTGAGGTTGTCACTCGAAATTTCTTGTTTTCCATCGCTCTGAATGAGACGTCCACATGTGAACTTTTTGCCACTTCGACACCCTTCCTACCTTCCTAATAACTTCAGACCATCCGTAACCGTCAACGATGTGTTAGAAAATGATAACAACCATGATAGACTTGCCTAAACCCCGGATCATCAGACATATAAAGATCGCTGCTCAAATCAGTGTCGCTTCATTATTTCTCGGATCGCCTGCTCCTCAAGATCTGACTAGTTCTAGGTACCAACAAAGACGCCCACAAGTGAGTGTTTCACCGATTGCGTATGTACACTAGTGTGAGGGTTTAAGAAAACACAGTGGAAAGCGATGCCAGCAAGCAACGGTGGTGCCGATCCAGCGTCTGTCTATGTTCTCTTTCTTTACCACATAGAGTTCCAGTAGAGGTTCCAGTTGATAACTGAGTTATCGGGGGTTTCAGGCAGCTAAGATAGGCGTCCACATGTGAGTTTTTGGCCAAATGCTGCAAATATGTAATGCCAACACATAAGCACTGCAGCAAATACCAAGGCGAGCGCAGATTCGAGGGAGTGCAATGCGGGCAAGCTAGTGCCAGACATAGCATCCGTCAATCACCTCCTTCTCTCAGCAGGCGTTCTAATTGACGCCCAAACGCATGTCAGTTATTTGACCAAACCCGACCATACGCAGTGTCAACAATGCCAGGAGAATGCAGGTCTGAGAGTGCGATAAGAAATGAGCAGTGCCAGATCTAACTTCTGTCTTCTCTTGCATATAGAGTTCCAGTTGAGGTTCCAGTTGATAACCGAGAACTCGGAGGTTTCAGGTGGCCTAGATAGGTGTCCACATGTGAGTTTTTGGCCAAACGCTGCAAATATAACACCATGCAACTCGCTTTTGTTAATTGTTCCTTCTCTTTTCTTGTTCGTGTACTGTCCCTATTGGGAATTAAGATCGTCACTCAATCCTGTTCTAAAGGAAGAGTCATAAGCAGGGAATGGCTTCCTTCAGGGAATTACGATAGAATCTACTTTGGCACCGGCCAGCTTAGGGTATGTCACTGCTGTTGACGTACGGTCCCACTCTATATACGGCTTGAACCGTATTGTCCAATCACGCCCTCGAACTCTTGGCTACGCTTCCTGATTCACTGCGTTTATCTCTCTTGCTGCACCACAAACCCGGACTGCCATGAATCTCAATCGCGATGGTACACATTCTCATCCTTCTTCATTCTGCCCATCCACGTCTGTTATACAAGACTGTTTTCTCTTTCGGACCGAGTAGACACCCAGGCTTGATGTACAACAACAGTTGTTTTATACCGACCGAACCTGAGTGAACCTCTCTCTCTCGCTTCATTTGTTCTCGATGCTTAAAAACGGTTTCTCGGGTCTGACGTTAACGCCCTCGAAGCCAGGATTGAGCCTGACCCCCGCTCCCATTTGGTATCGGAGAAAGCAGTCAATACATGTTCACCGTACTTCAGAGTTTGCGGGGAGTAATGTCAATAAGCCCTCTGGCACGCATTGGGCCTTCAAGATGCTGCGCGAAGGCATGCGATTTGTACACAGAAAGGAGGCTGAGAATGCTTCGTCTATCAACTCTGTCCACAGCTTCCGTACCGCAATCCCGCTTCGCAATGCTGATATCCCGTGCCTACTATGTACAATGAGTCTTCGTAACCTATCCGCTGCAGATCATCCTTGACACTAGAGCGTTCAGGATGAGATTTCAGTCCTAGGAAGAACCCCCCCCTCAGCTAGGTTTCCAATTTCCCAACTTGAGGGTGTTTCTGTTTTCAGCGTGGCCATATTTTAAAGTTCGAAACTCTGTCCTTCATCTAGGTTCAACTTGATGATGACGCTTCTGGGCCCGGGACTGGAATAAAGCCTGTGTCGACAGAAACCATTTGCTTCTGTGGCGGGAGGATATCATTTTGGTCGCATGCGCGTGTAGAGTTCGACAACCTAGGCTCTCACCCCACCTTGCCCTGATCCTGACAACTTAGCTTGGATGGCTCCACTGACATGTTTAGCTATGCTCCCAATCTCGCCGGATGGAATTCACCCCTGAGACACCGGATGCGGCTCTAACTACCGGTCGAGCAAGGATTGCGCAAACTATTCTCGGGCCCGACCTCTGATACCCATGACTATCGAGTTAAAAGTTCTTACACATTGAATCATACAACTACATAGTTGGGATTATGTCGTTCTTCCTGTGGACGGTGAGGTTGTATATTGGTACATATGAGGACCGCACCAGCAGTACAATTTACAGAAGGCCATCGCTCCCCGGGGTCTACTCACTTGGTCTGATTAACACCATTTCCCCTCAAGATCCACTCTGAAGCCTTCCTAGCTTGTTCCTCCTGTTGTTCCTTCGTCAATTCACTCACAGCGGGGCGTGTCTCAGGTATGTTAAGGCCTGCCTGAACACCTGGACTGTTGGCAATTCTATCGAGCCATTTCTGTCGATGGACTCGTTAGTCGTGAAGGAATGAAGAACAACGTGAGACGTACGGCGAGGTTAGGGAAATCATCGAGGTTATCGATGCCCGACCATGCCCAACCTTTGACCCTATTCCAATGTTCAACAATTAATTAACGCTATCGACTCCTTTAGGATGACGATGACAAGCAGAGTTGGACGTACCAAGGCCAAACGTTGATATCAGCGATAGAATATTTTCCCTTTCCAGATCCAACTAGATAGTCTCGACCTTCACCTTGGGTCAACCTGGCCTCGAGGACGCTATAAAGGCGTTTCGTTTCGGTTATGTAGCCTGGGTGGATTAATTTCCCAGAACGGGAATGGTAGCTTGTTTATTTTCACAGAGGCGAAAGAGAGTGAGGGAGGTGCACATACGGTTTATACCATAGGGGATTTTTTCGGGTGCGTAGCGATAGAAGTGATTCGCTTGACCTGTTATCGAGCCATAGGATTTAATTATAACGAAACTCGACGATCTTCAGACTTGACGAACCTTGCATCGGACCAACACCACCATGCTATATGAACAAATCCAAGAAGTTGCGTCAGACTATAGCGCGTTAACACCACATCCGAAAAAATAAACTCACAGCAAAGAATATCCACTGAAGAGCTTCAGATTCCTCATCTGATCCGATCTCAAAACTAATCTTTCTCTCTGGATCCCATCGCTGAACGAGATAAAGAAGTATGGCGGCTGTTTCGAAAACGTTAAAGTGCGATCCGTCTGGGCGGTGGTGGGTTACTGCCGGAATTCGACCATTCGGGTTTATTTGAAGGTACCATGGTTCTTTCTGTTCCAGTTTGCTGAAGTCAAGTTTCTAAACGGCGAGGGTATGAGAAGTCGGAGGATACATTGAGTACGCATGATTAGAACGCGAACTTGTGGTGCATACTTTGAAATCGTAGCTTAGTCCGCTATCGGGGTACAATTCTTTGAGAGCCTCTGTGAGATATAGGAGAAACCCGAATAATTAGCGCTCGCAATCGCCACACAGGCTAGCCCGTACGCACCAAGCGCTATGGAGACTTTGTGGCCATTAGGGGTTGGAGCAGTGTAAAGGGTCAAAGTGGGCGTCGACATGATCGAGCGAGTGGATAAGAGCCTAGCGAATGCGATTCGGAGCCTCGAAGTGCAGTGCAGGGTGAAAGAGCTTTGAGAGATTCCAAGGGGCTGGTCGAATGGAGGAGCAATGAACGGCTTTGGGGGTCATTTATATAGCAGAAATGTCATTTATCCACCACCATGTGGAGGTGTCGTGCATGACAATAATGGGTCCCTTAGGCTGCCGGGTTTCGGCATTGCTGGTAAGATCAACTTGAGGGGTGAGCCGAGCTGGAACTCATTCCGGAAATCATGCACACGTCGTCGCCGGCAGCGCTCAACTCACCTACTGGTTATGAGTGAGTCTGAATTGACGCAGAGGTGGATTCGTAAGGCATGAAGAAATGAATAAGGATTCATAATATTTGTTTGGGAGAATGACTAAGCGTATTACAGATACATAGTATTCTCGAACTGAATATCTAATTCAAGCAGCAAACTGGGAAATGAGAGGATCGCTGTGCCTTTGGGACGCTCAGACGTTGGACCATCCGTGCCTCGGAATGATGTCCGAGAGCGAAAAGAGCATCACGTAGAGTCCTATATTGATAGAGGCTGGTAACCTGTCTAAATGAAGGTCCTAAATAATTGCAACGGACCGTGGACGATGATACAGAGGAAGACGATGACAATGGGAAACCGGATGACAATGTCGATGAGGGTGGAAAGACGATTTGTTCATCAATGATCGCCTTGACAGAGGGATCGGACCAGAGGAAAGAGATGGACGTATGGAGGAGTGGGATGATGAGCTGTTGGGACAAAACCGACGAGTCTTCGAAAGAAGGGAAAGATTGTATTATGTATGCCGCTAGTGGATTTATATTTGCAAAGATTTTCCAGGCTGTTTGTAGGGTGGCAAACCTCAATGACCCAGGCTACGTCATGAAGTTCGTTCGTGGTGGTGAGGGAAATGGTTTGAATCAGGACTGGTCAGGTCGAAGGGTGTCATGTTGGGGATGGGTAGTGTGCCAAAGCCGAGTGCGGGCGTTCGAGTCGTCGGAGTCGTCCAAGTTAGGAAGTGAGGTAGTGCCAGTGACACAACCATTAAGACAGCGTGGCGGATAAGAGCATCACCAGATGTGTCTTCAGAAACTAGAATGCCAGGAAGATTAGCACCCACAATCCCATTGAAACCGGAGAGGGGACAGATCATACGGGACTTACCAAGTATGATCCCACCTTATCCTCCGCCACCGCAAATGCCGTTAGTGCAGTCGACCAAGTTCCTATTCACGACTCCCCGATATAACTACTCATCGGCAATGAATCCACGATCTTCATCAGCGTCGCAATCGTACGTACTCCCACAACGATCCTAACAACAATGTCTTGCATAATTTCTGAAGCGCTTTAAGGTCGGTGGTTATTCAACGGTCGATAGAGTCCAAGCGAGAGTTCCTTTCGTATGCTAGAAGGGACTGCTGATGGCGCTACTGGTGGAAGGGATGACGGTTGCAACAGCTGCCCATTGGGGTGTAGTGAAGCGTTCCGAGATTACGCACGGTGGGATAACGACAGTGAGGGTTCAGGAGGAAGGCAGAAAGAAGACTGGCAAACGAAGCCAGGGGCGCGCAGTGAAATGGGCAGGTTGGAAATGAATACGCCTCTAAATGCACCATCAAGTCGGTGTTAAAAAAAAGGAAGCTAGAGGCCTTATCGATTAGTCGTGGTGACGTCGGGGTGCCAAGAAATCAGTGAAGGTTCAACCTTCATGTTCCTAAATGACATGATCCTTCTTAGCGTGCTCCAAGGAATTCAGGGTAGTAAGCAGTTCGGTGTGAGGTTGTCAGAGAAATGCCGAGTTCGCCGAGTCGAGGTCGACATCCGAGGGTTGGGTTACCTGCCATACCTTGACGTCACCACAACTCAATTGACATTACACAACCTCCGTCGAATCATCCCTCTTGTATTCGGATGGATCAAATCAAAGTTTGTTGTCCCTTACGTATTGGAGGTCGATATCCCCAAACGCAGTTCAAGTCCCCAACTTATCACAACCCTGGCACAATGCACTAGACTATGTCAACTAATCGGCTTCGTCTTTTCATTGCACCAGCATTCGTCGTCCATCCAAACCTCGGCGTCATCACCTATGATGATATGCAGAAAAATGGGCCAGTACTTTGGCGATGAGCAAGCAATGGCAGGCAAAATGGTTTAGCTGAACAAATGAACACCCGATATAAAAAATGGTAAGATACGACCCTGGTCTGTTATGAGTGTAACGGCTAGCAAACTCTGTGGAGGCATAGTCAACAGTTTCTAACAAAAAAACTGGGATAGAGTTGTCAGTGTTCTCGAGTTGAACGCCCCCTTTCGTGCATGCAGCATGAGCATTATGGTGTGGTTGGCCCATGCCGGGAAATGGAAATGATACGCGGAATGGGGAAGACCAAAGAACCTAGGCCACTCAATCGCGGACCATTAGTGCATCGAAATGACGCCCGAGATTGGAGAGTGCGGTACGGAGATTGTTGAGCGAGTGAGCCAATCCTGGAGCATGTGCTCCTGGGTTAACAACAACTAGCTGGCACCAGATTTGAACACATTCTTCAATGGATAGGAGTGCCTCCGAGTGCCGTCCGAGACTGGAAAGAGTTGCATATAGATTATTGAGTGACCAGGCCAAATCCGAGGTGTATGATCCTGGGTGAACAGCAACTAGCTGGCGGTAGAGTTTGACACTTTCTTCGATGAATGGGAGCGCCTCTGAGTCCCGTCCCAGATCGGAAAGAGCGTCGCATAGGTTGTTGAGTGACATGGCCAAATCCGGGGTGTATGATCCTGGGTGAACAACAACTAGCTGGCGATAGAGTTTGACACTCTCTTCGATAAATGGGAGTGCCTCTGAGTGCCGTCCAAGATTGGAAAGAGCAGTACATAGATTATTGAGTGACAGAGCCCAATCCGGGGTGTATGATCCTGGATAAACGGCAACTAGTTGCCGGTAGAGTTTGACGCTTTCTTCAATGAATGGGAGTGCCTCCGAGTGCCGTCCGAGATCGGAAAGAGCACCATGTAGATTATCGAGTGACATAGCCAAATCCGGGGTGTATGATCCTGGATGAACGGCAACTAGTTGGTGGTAGAGTTTGACGCTTTCTTCAATGAATGGGAGTGCCTCCGAGTGCCGTCCATGATCGGAAAGAATGATATATAGATTGTTGAGTGACACGGCCAGATCCGGGGTGTATGATCCTGGGTGAACAGCAACTAGCTGGCGTCGGAGTTTGACACTTTCTTCAATGAATGGGAGTGCCTCTGAGTCCCGTCCCAGATTGGAAAGAGCATTGCATAGGTTGCTGAGTGACATGGCCAAATCCGGGGTGTATGATCCTGGGTGGACAACAACGAGCTGGCGGTAGAGTTTGACGCTCTCTTCGATGAATGGGAGTGCCTCTGAATGCCGTCCAAGATCGGAAAGAGCAATACGTAGGTTATTGAGTGACATAGCCAAATCTGGGGTGAATGATCCTGGATGAACGGCAACTAGTTGCCGGTAGAGTTTGGTGCTTTCTTCAATGAATGGGAGTGCCTCCGAGTGCCGTCTGAGATTGGAAAGAATGATATATAGATTGTTGAGTGACCCGGCCAGATCCGGGGTGTATGATCCTAGGTGGAGGGCAACTAGCTGGCGTCGGAGTTTGACACTTTCTTCGATGAATGGGAGCGCCTCTGAATGCTGTCCCAGATTGGAAAGAGCATTGCATAGGCTGCCGAGTGACACGGCCAAATCCGGGGTGTACGATCCTGGATGAACGGCAACTAGTTGCCGGTAGAGTTTGGTGCTTTCTTCAATGAATGGGAGTGCCTCCGAGTGCCGCCTGAGATTGGAAAGAGTGGAAGCTAGATTGTTGAGTGACCCGGCCAGATCCGGGGTGTATGATCCTAGGTGGAGGGCAACTAGCTGGCGTTGGAGTTTGACACTTTCTTCAATGAATGGGAGCGCCTCTGAATGCTGTCCCAGATTGGAAAGAGCATTGCGTAGGCTGCCGAGTGACAAGGCCAAATGCGGGGTGTACGATCCTGGATGAACGGCAACTAGTTGCCGGTAGAGTTTGACGCTTTCTTCAATGAATGGGAGTGCCTCCGAGTGCCGTCCGAGACTGGAAATAGTTGCATATAGATTGTTGAGTGACGTGGCCAAACCTGGGGTGTATGATCCTGGGTGAACAACAACTAGCTGGCGTCGGAGCTCGACGCTTTCTTCGATGAATGGGAGCGCCTCTGAGTGCCGTCCCAGCTTGGAAAGAGCATTGCATAGGTTGTTGAGTGACCTGGCCAGATCTGGGGTATATAATCCTGGGTGGACAGTAACTAGCTGGCAGTAGAGTTTGACGCTTTCTTCAATAAATGGGAGCGCCTCCGAGTGCCGTCCAAGATTGGAAAGAGCGCAATATAGACTGATGAGTGACTCAGTCAAATCCGAGGTATAGGTCCCTGGGTCCAGACAAACAAGGTCACGGCAGAACACAACGGAATCATTCGCTGCCTCATAAGCCTCATGGAATCTTGAAAAAAAAAAACAAATTCTCCACAAGCTGGATAAGCTCATTGGCCAATGCATGAATAGCATCCTTGGACCGGTGCTCAACAGCTGACTAGAACATCATGAGGTAGTTTCATCAATACAATTGATAACACATGCCTTGGCCCACTTGGGTAGTAACGAGATACTAATGTAGCCCTCCATTCTCACACAAACTTCCACCCAGCGAGTTGCTTCCTGACTGAGAAATACGGCAACTAACCCAGCAAGCCCCTCCTCCGGGTCCTGGACGCCACTGAGGTGATGGACAAGATAGCGACATGCATAGTGAAAGTGCTCAGATAGCTCCTCTGGAGGAATGCGCGGCATTTCATCTTTTTCAGACAAATTTTCAATCAGTCCTAAGCCCTTTACAGCGGAAAGATCCTGGTTGAGAATCTCGGTACATCGCAGGGCAACCCTGGCATTCTCGGTCTTCACATCTATTGAACTGCAACCAAGGCCGATTGATCGGGGGTCGATTCGATCCAGAATAAAGTCGCGGAAGGATTGATGTAGGATGCGAATCGGAATGTGAGGGTTCTCAACCCCCGAGAGGAGAGGTGCAAGTTCGGCCAACGTATATCGAACAGAGGATTTCAAAAAAGGTAACAAAATCCTATCCCAGCTTGCGATGGACAGAGGCTGCTGTGCAATGAAGAGTGCTCCCACCACAATCGGGTAGTCATGTACAAAACCTTCAATCTTCCAATTACACCTCTTCAGAATGTTTGTGTACAAGCGATCCATCATTTCCTCAGCAGGAACCTTTGATCGTTTGGTACTGGTGTCAAGCAGGCTCTTTAGTGTCACCATAGGATCCTCGCTGGTCGTCTTCATGTAGCGAAAGATGGTGCTGATCCAGATAAACAAACCATTGGCACGTTCCAAGATCTCCTGTACTGATTTATCTTCGTCCTGAAGATTATGGCGTAAATCCGGATGTACTTTCCTCAGCTTTTGAAGCTGAGAACGTATGTATGCAGTGCAGTCCTGCATGTTTGTCTTATCCGAAAGATCAATAGTGAGACGATCGATAGGGTAATTGGGGGAGAGGAAGCGATTCACGAGATCAAATTGTCTCGATGTGATAAAGAATTTAATGGAAGATGGTAGCTTAGGCACTTCCTCCCCAAGAATTTCAGCAAGGGGCTCAAACACTTCTTTGTCACACTCGTCTAAAGCATCGATGATGACCACCATAGGATGGCTGGGAGGTGGAGGTTTGTGGAGGAGAGGCGAAGCCACCAAATCCCTGAATTGCTTCGCAAGTGGAGCTGTTGAGAGGGAAGAGTCTTTTCGAAGAGCAGAGATAATGCAAGTGCGGTAAACCGGGTCATGTTCTGCCAGAACCCGAGCTATGCCGCTGAATAGAGAATCGGGCCGTGACCGTTCGCCCGCTTTAAAGAAGAAGTGCAACAATAAGGTAACGTCCTCTTCACTCGCACATCGTTCTGCTATCGTGAGTGCAATCGAAGTCTTGCCGGCACCCGCCACAGCTGTCAGTAGCATTAACCGGTTCTCACTCTCTCCAGTGTTGCGGCACCATGTCATAATATGCTCAGTGAGATCCACCCTAGTGCCTTCTAGGCATGCCTGAGTCGAATCATCGTGGGCGATATGAGGGAATCGGAGACTATCCAAGATTTTGTCATCCTGTAGACGACGTTCTATGGCCGCTAATTTGGCGCCGCCTATTAGGTTCGCCCTAAGCTGCATCGGCCGAAAATCAGAATGATTATGGAACGATACTGTGAGAAAACCTACCTGAAACGATGTCAATGCTTTGTCAAAATCTTTCTTTAGGTCATCGATCTTTCCTGGGTCTCTCAAGTAGGACAATGCATTCATGAAAGCCGGTCGTTTCTCCAATTTTTTCAGTCTTCGATCGATGTCGGACTTGATCTTCCGTAGCGCGCTAGGACTTAATGTAAGCAACGGTGTCGGGGACAACCAAAAAATAAATACAACTTACTCATCAAGCTTCGTGATACTCTCCACCCACGGCTTTGCCTCTTCTGCTGATGGATCATAGGATTTTATGGCTAAAATCACCTCGGTCACAGTGTCGACTACATGTTGACCAAAACCAGCCCATTCCTTCTTGTTGTCCTTGAACTTCTAAGTACGTGGCGCAAACTTCAAGTGTGAGCTTGCATTCAAGGCCGGTCACAAACCATTGCTAACCTGAACCTCGTCGAGGATGGAGAGTGCACCGCCAGTCGCCATTTTTAGCGGGGGACACCAATCAGCCGTATTATTGACAACCCGGAGGATTGGGACTGCTATGGCACCACCCGCTACGAGGAGATCATCGATCTTTTGCCTGAGGACCTCAGCCTTTTGCTGCAATGACATGGTCGATAGCGGACAAGTGAACGGAGAGTGCGCAATACACGTGTGAGCCCCTGATACTCAGAGCCACGGGGCCTCCGCCTGATTATGGAAGGATATGATATATGCATTTACTTTAGTAGAGGCTGGATTCTGCCTAGCATTTAGTCTAATCCGATGTCAACCGCGAATTCTAGCATGCGCGTTGGCATGACCCAGACTGGTTATGACAGCGAGAGAATTAGTATGACCCCTGCTTGCTGACTTATAGGACCTCATATGTAAGTCGTAATCAGGCACGAGTTGCAGCGATCGCTTCGTACCGAGGGCCCACGGTAAGCGCCGCTGTGGTCCCACGACATTTCACGACGGTCATCCCGTTCCTCAAGGAGAGCGATTAGCTTTTAATTGAGCTCTTAGGATGCAGGCGAGTGGGTGTCGGCTGTGCGTCAAAGCTTGTCATTTTTCAGCTATCGTTTTCTGGAACCCAACCTCAACTTCCCTTTCCTTTTGATCAAGCGCCGCTCTCTAGACTGCGCCCTGAAAGCTCCAGGGCCCCACTGTACGCGTGTCGCGACCATCCCATGTCGCCTCGACCCATTCAAGTTGGCGGTGAAGCTGTTTTCGTGGCGCTTGTGGAACCAATACTTGTTCTACTTGTTGTGCCGCGTCATATTCGATCATGCTCCGGTCGCCACTAGTCGGGGTGACTACCCGTCGGTGAATAAATTGGCCCCCATAAGTACTTCAACTACTTCCCAACACATTGATATAATAATAATATAGCGCCGCTGTGCCACGCGATTTCAGCGCAGGCTGGCATCCCTAGTGTCTCGTCATGGTCGTCCCATCCCTCATCGTAGAGGCGCGATCGGCTTTTATTTGGGATGTGGGTATCAGCTGTGCGCCAAAGTTATTCAGACAGTATAAAAAGGCTTACATTCCTAGCTATCGTTGAAGTCGTTTTCCGCAACCCAATATATTTTCCTTTTGGTCTCTGGACAGCGCCTTGAAAGGCTCCACTGTACCTGCGCGCTGCAAGCATCCCACGAGGCCTCGATCCATTCGGTGGGGTTGTTCCAGTGCCGCTTGTGGGCCGACACTGTGCCACTTGGTCGTGGCCCTGATGCGTCATATTCGATCGTGCTCTGGTCACCGCTGGGTGTGCATGACCACCCATCGCTGAATAAGATTGGCCGCTACGTGTACACTACTTTGACTACTTCCCAACGCATTGATAGAAGAATAAAATCTCAACATGCTCCATACATTACAGCAAATATCAACGATGGTGCACCAAGTAAGCCAAGCTCCCCTATATAGTACCACATACCCTACACCCTAGGTGTGCCAGCCGCTTTGCCTCCGCTTCCCCCGCCATCCAATAGTGCCAATATCGAGAAGTGAGTTTTAGGGACGTATGGCTTATTATCGTATCTACATATGACGGAATAAAATGCCACATTTCAAGTCCAGCAAAACAGAGCGGGACTCAGCCTCAAGCATAACCCAACTTTGAAACTGAGAAAAAGAACGAATTAACACTGGTATCGAGAATACCAGAAAGGGCAGACTGACAATAACCCGATGGGAATACTGCAGCGCGTTCAAGATCAGATCAATATTTTATCCGTGTGCTCGCCACAATAACAACAACGATTGGCAAACAACGAACGAGAAGAACAAACACCCAATGATCAAAGCTTAAGTGCCTTAAGAAGTCTCGGCAAATCAGGCGTTCCAAATCCAGTTGCAGGGTCCCAACCTCTCGTCGCATTGAACCCTGTCGTTCCACAACCTGGGTTGCTACCCGTAGTGATGTCGTTCAGGACTCCCGGTTTGAGAGAGTAAATCCATGGGTTGCTGCCCATGTAGAGCGCGGCGCTTCGGTGAGCGGGTGCCTGAGGAAGGGAGAAACAAACAAACGTACAGAAATCCGAGAGGTCTACGACCTTTGGAGAGTAGAGCATCGTTTAAGAGCGCGATCTAAGACGCAAGTATACCTCGTTGCTTAGGCCTGCAGGGAGAGAATAAAGAAGGAAATGGAACTCACTATCGCAGCAAAAGTAGGTGTCGAAGCGCTCGTACCCGAGACACGTATGACTTTTCCTTGATACACGATGAAATACCGATAACCCCTGCACAGAGGATGAGTGAGAACCCATCAGATCAAGCAATCCCTCGAGGATGAAGGAAGCCAGACGCAAAAAGAAACTCACTGAGCCGCAACATCAGGATAGGCTCTCCCACTCTTGTTGAACAATCCTTCATACGTGCTTCCGAGTGTTTTAAGGTATCTCGGTACTGCATGGTGTTGGTACCATGGGCGGGGGAAGTAATCGCTAAACCCCCCTCCGGAGAAGCGAACCGTTGTTTCAGGAATTTGGTACGTCGCCCCAACAGTCGTGACGCTTTAAGCAGCACGACTTAATGTTCGGCACAGATATAGGGAAAGTACATAGAAAACTCACTATGGGCACCCACCAGGGAAGATAGGAACGAACCTATTGGGGGTGAAACAAGCTCCTGTTTCCCCCACGCGGCCTACACCTCCATCGCCCGAGGCATGGAGAGCGCTAACACCCCGCGTCCCCAGTGCAGCGTAAAGCTTGCACACACGTCGGGCGTAGTTGATTGGAACTGTATCCTCATCCTCACCTTCATATAATTTCGAAAATTCCGCGGTCCCCACATGAGTGTTAGAGTGGAATTTTTGGGTTCAGGGAGGAATAGGATGCAGAGACTCACCATAACTGGTAGTCAACACTTGAGGAAGATCCTTCGTTTTCTTCCTAAGGAGGTAAGTGAGAAAAACGTCGTAGCTTGTGGATTGTGATTATTTAGTTGATTCATATGAATACGGGTTTGGCATCCGCTCATGGTTCATTCCCATTGTCCTCATAGCTGATGCTCCGGTTCGTATTTTGGCCGCGACCATATGTACTGTAGAATACTAATTAAGAAGAAATGGTGTTACGATAGTTAAAATGGTACTGATTTAAGCCGTACGTACTTTGCTTGACAGGGTACTGCGATCAAAACAGATTTCATGGGGTAATTGAGTAACCCGGAATCTGCATTGCGCAGAGGTGAGGTAGCTCACCGATATCCCTCCCGCGAACTGGACATCCAAATTCTGTGAATTTAAGAGGAACGCCAAAAGACCAAGGGGTTAGTGTCCAAATTCTATACGTGAAAAGGAAGAGAAACAAAAAACCCGGAGAAAGTGGGAATGGAAGAAGCGAGATTCAAAAGGAACTTACAGCCTCGATGCCAGCCTCGGAAATGTTCTGAGAGTTGATTGCTCCTATGTAACGGCGACAACAAGAGAAAATGTTTGCGTCAATGATAACGAAATGCCACAACGATGAACTTTTACCGTTGATAAGCTCCACATGGAGGGTACTCTTAAGCGCTGGAGGATAGAAAATGGAATAAAAGTGTTTAAGGTCAGCAAGGTTCGCATATTGCTCGAGGTACCTAAAATGAGAAAACATCATATTTTAGTTTATCCAATTCTCTAATGGGGATTCCGAGAGCGAGACAATTAAGATGTGATGATACCTACCCGGTGATACCGATTGAACTTCGCGTTCCTTTAGCCTTGTACGCATTGGTGCGATAGAGCGTTTTGAGCTCTGGGAGCGACATGTTTGGCTGTGGTACTGGGGCTGGGGCGGGACCGCTTTGCTGGTTGAAGGAGCCATCGTCAACTATCAAAGATGACAAGAGAGGTCGACCAGAAGGGAAGTAATTCGTAGGCTGAACGACATCAATATGGTCGTGTAGGTGAGCAGGAAGGCTATATGACATTGTACGAATCGCAGTGAGTCCAGTCTCGTGGTTCGCATATATTGAATAGGTTGTATCGAGAAGTTTCTCTGCGATTCCAATGGTGGTCTTGAGTGAGATCCAATCACTTGCGGGTGTTCGTTGGAGCGCGTCGCCTGTGATATCTATACCGTGCGAGACAAGGAAAGATTCGAGCAAGATGATACTGTCTGAGTGAGGAGCGGAGAACTTTTCGACCTCTTCTTTGGTCAAGTGCTCAGTCCATCGGGGGCTGGATGGGTCGCTTATTTCAAGCAATGCGGATTCGATCTGGTGAAAGTAAGGCTGGGCGAGCCCAAAACGGAGAGTGATGGGAGTGTGAGGCGAAGGAGTGCCATGGTGGGTCCATCCTCGTGGCAGTCGGATCGAGCTCTTCTCGACAAAGTGGTGTGCTGGAGGTGCGGCGCACACCCAACTCAATAAGGGGAGGGCAGAAACGAATAATGCCAACGATGGAACCATTCCGAGACACCTTCCCGTTCAACTGCTCAAGGACTGAAAACGGGGGGGGGGGGCACAGGCGCTTTGCAGAGAGGCCAGATGCGATCCTTAAATCCACATTGTGGGCGGGGAAAACTAACCGGACGGGATGCCGCTGAGGAACATCTTTGAAGGGATAGCAAAGTGACTTCTCCACAATGAAATGCCCAAGGGAGGGGTGCAACTCCCATACAATTCGAACGCCACAAAATGGATGAGGGATTGCAACGCTACCCTGACGATGTGCAAATGCGGAGTGATCTAAAGCTAATGTGGAACTACATAAATGTAGCGCACAATATGTGAAATTCTTCTCTGCCATAAGGCAGGCCGGTGACCAGCTTCTATAGTCTCACGCGAGCCTTACATCAAGATCATGTAGGACACATGGAACGAGGTGGGGGATGAGACCAACGCAACACACGTTCGCTCCCGCTCTCCAGCTCAAAAGCGAAGGACTCAGAGAGCACGATTACAGTCAGAAAAAGGATGTTGGGGTAGCAAGGTTGATCACGAGATTGGCGAGCTTAAATTTAGAATGACACAGACACATAACATTTCGCTACCAAGCTGCGGGAAACGCGTTCTCGAAGGAACAGCGGGAGTTCTTAGTTGTTTCAAGCAGGAAGCGCGCGGGCTCCATGGGGAGGAAGTCCCATGACTCCGCGTAATCCCCGCTTCGTGCCGACGCGGCAAGACGGAAGTCTGGAACGCAAAAAGGATGAGTCAAAACGGAAAGCCCGCAGCGCATACATAAGCACCGCCAAGGAAACTGGGTTGGCTTTCACGAATAAGGTCCTCTCGCATCCCAGTGACGAGAGTGTTTATCGCTGACGATCTTGTGGATAACCAGACGACCCCAAGCCTCTAGCTTCACTCTTGGGAAAGAGACTAGGGTTGAGTACTTAGTGACAATTCACTCAGTCATCCCTCTTCGTCAGCACTTTCCCATCCGAATCCGGGATTACAGTGGTAACTTCAAACTTATTCCTCTGTCCTTTTCCCCATCTCCGTACCGTCTCCACCATGTTCTCCAGAACCAAAGAGACACAGACCGATGGCACATCCCTCAAAGGTACACACAGCGCGGGCGAGGATGGCCAGTTGCGTCGATCCATCACCGGCCACCCCAGTAACCTCTCTGCAACACAGGAAGATGCTCTGCATAAGTTCCGTGAAGAGATTACTGCGGCGGGGCTCTACGTTCCACGATCCACTCCTGATGGACGGCGTGCCAGTCACACGGACGTAGCGTTACTGTGAGTATGTGCCTCGCGATTCAGAAAAGTTGATATATGACTCCTTGGATATGAAGGCGTTTCTTACGCGCTCGGAGATTTGATGTGGGGAAGGCGATGAAGCAGTTCACCGACGAAGAAAATTGGAGACACAAGTACAATGTTAATGAACTGTACCTCAACTTCCCGGTTGACGAAATGGAGGCATCGAAGAAATTCTATCCTACGTGGACGGGGCGCCGCGACCGAGTGAGTAGCACATATTACAGATATTGTTTCTCTGGTGAACGCGATGGCTCAACTTGGAACAGAGGGGTCTGCCGATATACGTATATCGCCTTGCCGATCTCGACTCAGCTCGCCAAAAGGAACTCTCGGTTGTCTCATCAGACCGCCGTTATCAGCGCATGTAAGCTCGTTCCTTCCTACCGCCCCATGTCTAATATCTTAATCCACGGGACTGTCAGAATAGCGCTGTACGAATACATGCTGCAAGGAGTCCTCAATCTTTGCGCCGCCCTTGCAAAGGACACCCCCTCCGCAATTAACAGTGCTTCAGGCGTAACATCTTCACTACCCCCATCCCAAGTTTCCTCCGTTACAACGATGGTGGATTTAGCCGGTGTTTCATTATCACAACTTTGGAACATCCGTTCCCACCTCCAACAAGCTTCTAACCTAGCCACCGCTAACTATCCCGAAACTCTCAACTCCATTCTCGTCCTCAATGCCCCCGGTTTCTTCCCTACAGCATGGAATTGGTTCCAAGGCTTTTTCGATCAAGGGACGCGTGAGAAAATTAAAATCCTAGGAAACCCTTCCAAGGATCCATCAACCTTGGATGTGATGACACGATACATCGCGAAAGAGAATATACCCAAAGCATACGGTGGAGACCTTGATTGGACGACAGGCGATGATCCCAAATTTGATGAACCTGCGGGAGAGTGGCTGAGGGATAATATGAATCTCGATGTTATTCGTGGACCACTCGTTATCGATCCGTGGGGGGATGTGACGGATGGGAGAGCGGCGAATAGTGACGCTGGTAGTTCGGTAGGCGATAGTGGTGTTGGGATTGGAGGGACTGGGCCAGGTGGATTAAGTTTAGAACTTGAACCGCCCAGCCCCGGACCCGTTGAGGGAATGGATAAGAGCCCGGAGTTGCTTGTCCCATCCGGGACTCCAACCGAGGGTCTTTGAGCGGTGGTTTTTTCGTATATCTCTGCTCAAGACTCTTTTCTTTTCTTTTCTTTTTTTTTGTAAGGGAAGAATGTCGCAATGCTCATGTTACCTGTTGTTTTCCCCCTGGTTCCTTGCATGATGTGAACACTCTCCTCTCCTCTCCCGCTGGTCACGCATGCCCAACAACAACCCTTTCACCGTCCAATCCCAATCTATTACTATACTCACCTGATTCATTTTTAACCGCGTTCTACTAGCAGCATCATACAATCAAGCGAGTTGTCTGGAGATTATATTACGTATGTTTGAATCATACATACCACTAGCTTGGTTAGTTCCTCGACGATTGGGTGGCTTGCCAAGAGATTATGTCATGTCCGATCGGATATTGGAGCTTAGTATCAGTATTGAACTTGTCTCTCCCCTGAACCGACATCAAAGCATCACGTTGTCATAATGGCCAGGGGGTAGCGTCGCCTTGGGACGCGGGGATTACGCGGAGTCATGGGGGACTCCTCCCATGGAGCTGCGCGCTTCCTGCTTGAACGCCTAAGAACCCCACTGTCCCTTCGACGTGTTTCTCGCAGCTTGGTAGCAAAAATGTTATATGTCTTTGTCGAGAAGAGCTCCATCCGATTGCCACGGGGATGGTCCCACCATGGCACTCCTTCGCCTCACACTCCCATCACTCTCCGTTTTGGGCTCACCCAGCCTTACTTTCACCAAATTGAATCCACATTGCTTAAAATAAGCAACCCATCCAACCCCCGATAAACTGAGCACTTGACCAAAGAAGAGGTCGAAGTTCTCCGCTCCTCACTCGGACAGTATCATCTTGCTCGAATCTTGTCTCGCACGGCATAGATATCGCAGGCAATGCACTCCAATGAACGCCCGCAAATGATTGGATCTCACCATTGAAATCGCAGAGAAACTTTGATAGTTGCTTCAATTCATCCAGCAATGCGCTCCCGCCCCAGCACCAGCAGCACAGCCAACTCGGAGGCGCTCTCATTCGTCAAAGAGAGCGTCAAACTCCGGCGTCAGCTAGTTCCCATTCATCCAGGATCATACACTCCCAATTTGGCCATGTCACTCAACAACCTTCATATCCGATCTCGGACAGGATTCGAAGGCGCTTCCATTCATCGAAGAGGGCGTCAAACTCTGGCGCCAGTTGGTTTCCATTCACCCAGGATCATGCACCCCCGGTTTGGCTAAGTCACTCAATAATCTATATAGGGCTCTTTCCACACTCGGAGGCACTCGGAGGCACTTCTATTCATTGAAGAATGCGTCCAAATCCGGCGCCAGCTAGTTGTTGTTAACCCACGAGCGCATGCCCCAGGATTGGCTAAGTCACTCAATAATCTATATAGCGCTAACTCGGACGGCACTTGGAGGCACTTCTATTCATCGAAGAAGGTGTCCAAATCTGGCGCCAGCTAGTTGCTGTTAACCCACGAGCATACACCCAAAATTTGGCCATCCCACTCAATAATCTACGGAACGCCCCTTCCAATCTCGGGCGTCATTCCGAGGCACTGATGGTCCGCGATCGAGCGACTTTGATTCTCCGGTCTTCCCCTTTCCACTCATCATTTACTTCTCATGTTTGCTGCTTGCACCATAATATAATGGACATGATGCATACTTGAAAAGGGATGTTCAGCTCGAGAACGCTGACAACCCTGATCCCAATTTTTTTTCGTTAGACTATTGACAACACTTCTACAGAGTTTGCTAGCTGCTATACCCATAACGGATCAGGGTCGTATCTTATAATTCTAACATCGGGTGTTCGATTCATCGAAAACAGTTTCCCTGCCATTGGTCCCTCATTGCTGAAGTACTGGCCCATACCACCATTAGCGGTGACGTCGAGGTTTGGATGGTTGGTGCGATGAAAATATGAAATCGACTGGTCGATATTGTCTGGTGCATTGCTAACGAATGTAGCATTACTGTGTTAAGGGACATTTCTAATAAGTAAGAGACAATTTGATAGTATGTATCTCGACATGCAGGCCGAATATGTTCCCGTAGAATCGTCGCCATTAGGTTCGAATTGAGCACGAAGTCCGGGGTGTGTGATGTCGATTCGGTCGTGGTGACGTCAAGGCTGACAGGGAGATTGGCCTCGGTCTCGGCGCGAGGAACTCGGTACTTCCCCGACAACATTGCAGTAGGTCTCTGAGGGGTGGGTTGCTGCTTAATCAATTGTCTGTATCACTTGCGCGTGTCATCCCGAACTTATCTCCCGAAACCCAGTGCTGTCACATCGATGCGGAGGCACGTTAAGAATATTTGTTCTGCCGAGGAAATCGTTTCAGTGCGACTGAGTCATGACTCGTTCCTTACAAAAATTCGATGGCAAGCCCAACACCATCGTGACTAATTGATAAATCCCATTCAACTGGCTGGACCACCCCCAAGGATACGGCGATTGATTATTCCAGTGATACACTATTGCAACCTTCCCAGCCATCCTCGATTTCGATCGTACATCATCATCGGATAACGCCGAGGAACGATCAAAAGGCTCGATCGCATGTTATGGTTATTAACACTGACTTGATTATTCTCCTGGAGGCGTATTCATCTCCAACCTGTTCATCTTTGGCCAATCTTCTTTCTGCCCTCCTCTGGAACCCTCATGCGTAATTTCGAAATGCTTCCCCACACCCAATTGGACAGCTGTCACAACAGCCATCCCTCCCGTCATCATGATCTCTTCCACTGGTAGTGCCATCAGCAGTCCCTTCTAGTATACTCTCGCTTAGACTCTATCGACCGTCGAATAATCACCGACTTCGATGCGCTTCAGATATTATGCAAGACATTACTGTTAGGATCGTTTGTGGGGGTACATACGATTGCAAAGCTGATGAAGATCGTTGATCAAAGTAGGTCATGTGCTCAACTACACACAGCTTGACCAATCAGTGGTTTGCGGACCAAAGAGATGGTATGCAATGCGCAAATATTAACCAGAGAAGAGAAGCCGAAAAAAAGTGATTGTGTGGTGCTTAGTATGTCCACAACAGCGCCGGAGTCGCCTAAAATGCTGAATAGACGCGTTAGGCAGGATACCAGCCTCCATAGATAGATAGACGCTTAGCGGTGAGCTCAAAGCGCAGGTATGTAAGGCGCGAATTTCGCTCGGAAAAAGCGAGAAAAAGTGATGGTGTGGTGCCTAGTATGTCCACAATAGCACTGGAGCCGTTAAAACGCAAATTGACATATGTATAGACGCGTAGCAACACCACCCACACCTGCACAGCCTCGGAGTCAGGTGGCGCGCGTCACGACCTCATCGAGGTTTTATTCCTAAACCTCTGATTGACCTGGAGTCTGGGGATAGGGGTGAGCTAAAGGTGTTGAAGATTTTCACGTAAGGACCTAGTTGATTTCCCAAAATTTGAAAATCATTTGACACTTGATCTGAATGCACACATGTTTGTGTATTGATTAGGGTGGCGGCGTCAAGCGCTGTTAATACCTTTGAAACGCCTTGCATTTCGGGTTTTCGAGTAATACATGAATTCGTGCTGCCCTGTTTCAAGTACTAATGGGAAACTTCAAACCAGAACACGTCGGGTGGAGCTTGCAAGTCGGCGGACGCCCAGCGCTTGGCAGCGAAGCCAGCAGCCTTATCGCTAATCAGCCTACCCTGACATACTAGAGGCTGGTACGTTCGTGCCATAATGACTTAGGGGCTGAATGCGGAATAGGACCACGTATGTCTCACTCGAGTCAACATGTATTTTCACATCATTTATTGAGAATTTAAGGTCCCCAACACTTTACATCATCCCTCATGATGAACCGATTCCGCCCAAATCGTGAGGGCCGGATCCAGGATCGCGAAGAAAACAACAGGATTGCAAGATCGATGACTCCAAGCCCAATGCGCCCCGTAATCTCGGCTGAAACGGTGACAGGCAAGCATCTCCGGTTTCTCGGTGATGTTTTCTTAGTAACGTAGAGTTCCCACCGTCAAATTTTCAATACCTATATTAAACTAGGTCCTCGCTCAAATTCCTAGTACGGTCTGCCTCAGATTTCTTACGAAAGGACCCAGGACTCAAATGCATTATTGCGTCAAACTGAAGCGCCGGGAGATGATCAGCTAGTTATTTTGTTCCGCAAGGTTGATCTCTGTTCCTATTTCGACGAAACCTGCGCCAAAGACATCGCACTCCCAAGCGCCAGTCACGGAGATGGCACTTAATTTCTCAGGAGAAAGCATTTCTTAACGTCTACTGCAGGCCTACAAAAGAGCGCAGAGTGCAAGGTCAGCTTCGCCGTGGACAGCATCTGACCAACAGCTCTACTCACCGGCGGGTGAGCGCCAATCATCCAATCATCTCGAGTTCAGATTACTCACAGTTTTGGTACTAGGAAGGGCACCAGTATGTCATCGAAAACGTCAGGCTCGGTTCCTGCGCCCCTGCGCATCGCGCTTCCTTCATCAACTCCAGCCATATCCACTCCGTCTGAATCCTCCACTAGAGCGCCTTCACCTGTCTCCGATTTCTCTGTTTTTACGAAACCTGGGGAACCGGAAGAGCTGAAGATTGTTGAAGTTAAAGGCCTCGAAGAAGGTCACTACTGGGATGGCCACCAAGACGATGAAATCCCAGACAAGACGCACGGACGCATTTTCCGCAACCTACGTTATCAGATCTTTACGCTCTATCGCCGTCTCTTCAGTATTGTGATCATTACGAACATGATTATTTTCATCGTCTCGATGGCCAACGGGGGACTTGTTGCAGGCCAAATTGGCCAACTGGTCCACGGCAACTTACTTGTGGCGATTGTGATGCGTCAGGACCATGTAATCAATGCGTTCTTCCTCATCTTCTGTGCTGTCCCTCTCTCGTATGTGCTGGTTGTTCGTGTAAGGCATTCAGACATTCTAACTTTCATTTAGCTGGCCTCTCTTCTTCCGACGGGTTGCTGCCCAGGTGTTCCATATTGGCGGACGTAAGGTTTGCCCCAACCTATGCGCCTGAATCTTCACTTATACGAACTTCAAAGTGCACTCCGGCGGCGCAATCTCATCTACGGCCTGGTTCATTTATCTCACGGTTCAACTCACAATCGATTTCTGCAATGATCATGTTCGTTCTCATGAATGTCGATGGAAGGTTCACAATATTGACATCTCATCCAGATCTCTGTGGCGACACTAACACTCACCTATATTATTATCGTTTGTCTTCTCACGATCATTGTATTCGCCCTCCCTGGGGTGCGCGTTATTATGCACGATTCATTCGAAAGGACCCACCGCGTATGTATTTTCCTCCATGCAATTTGTTAGCTAGTCATCCCTGTCTATTAGTTCGCGGGTTGGTTCGTAACCGCGCTTGTATGGGCACATACGGTCCTATTTCTTAACGACCTCAAGCCTGCCGGGACATCATTGACTCACGCCATGGTTAACTCCCCGTCGTTCTGGATGGTCATGGCCCTCACAATCTCTATCATTATTTCATGGTTAACGCTACGGAAGATCCCTGTCAAGTCGGAAGTTCTCTCGGACCATGCAGTCCGTATCCATTTCGACTATGCCCACCCTGTCCCTGGCAGCTTCGCACGATTTTCCTCGGACCCTCTCTTCGAATGGCATTCCTTCGCAACCATTTCAATTCCAGAGGAGAAAGGGTTCAGTGTCATTGTTAGCCGTGCAGGGGATTGGACGAGCAAAGTCATCGCTAATCCCCCCACTTCCCTTTGGGTTCGTGGCGTAGTGAGTCCCTCACGACCACCCGTGCTTCCCAGGCATATCAACCGTTCAACGTTAGCCAACTTGCGGAGCCCTTCGTGTCGTGCCCCTCTTCAGACGCATTATCCTCGTTTGCACTGGAAGTGGCATTGGGCCCATCGCACCCCATCTCTTCAGGCCGGGCCGTGCGCCAATGATGTGAGTTAATGGTTCGAGGTTTCCAATATTGTGTGCTATGTTGACGTCACCATATCAGACTTCTTTGGGTTTCTCGCGATGTGAGCAGTCACTGTATCAGTGCTTGGGGCCTGAACCAAAGACGCTAACTCCCCGACAGGTTCGCAAAACATTCGGCGACAAGTTTGTCGATGCTGTCCTCCGAGCAAGCCCTGATGCAATTATATACGATACTCGGAAGCACGGAAAACCCAATATGGTGAAATTGGCTTGTACGTATTACTCCCTGTGCTACTAACACGCGACTCACAGATCAGCAAACGAACAGACCGCATGTACAAGGACTTCGACGCTGAGGCTGTGTATGGTTTGATATTGCCGCAATTCGGGTGCAGAGCTAACATCGATGACTCACAGTGCCGTCCTGTCAAATCAGAGACTGACCGAGAAGGTGGTGTACGGGCTACTCAGCCGGTGAGTTGCGGGATAAACTTTCTATCCCCTAGCTCGCAAATCTAACACCGATTATTTCATCCTCACAGAGGAGTGCCTGCATTTGGGTATGTACCCGTTGCTAATATCTTTCGCATTCATTCACTGATGAAATTCCCCAGTCCTATCTTCGATTCGTAGAAACTTTAGAATCTATCTCTGCTGCTGCGGAAATTCTAAGACACCGCTCTGTGGTTCAAAAGCAGCTTAAATCACCTCGTCCCCCATAGACTAATCCATACTCCCCTTCTTTCAACAACTCTCGTGTATTGGAACGGTTCTTTGCTTGATGGATGTAATGAGTTACCTGGCGGCGCCAGACTTCACTGCACGCGCACTTTGGACGTTAAGAACAGGAGTGAAAACTACGCAGTTCAGCGTCTTCCGACACCATTCTGACCAGATTAGATTTCTCAAAGTGCGTACTCGGATTCCAATCCAAGGCGGAAATTTGCACAGTTCGTCTATACAAACGTAAACAACCAGGAAGTCCCGAAATAAAGATATTGAAGCACATCACTGCACTGCTCTGCTTCAAAGTTCTCTTCCTAGCACGCCTCCATAACATCCCCCAGTACCCATTGTCTCAACACGAGACAGGGGTTCACACCCTTCGTCGAATCCGCTCTCTCGAGCGGAACAGAACGAAATGACCAGGTGGTTGAACTGGGATGCAACATGTAACGTACATCTGCCAACATTAGACATAGTGAACCATCGTCCATGAACGGACGGCTTTACGATCGATGCACGGACAAAGTCTGCGCTTGCGCTCAGTGCAAGGGATTTTTCCTTCTAGGATTTTCATGAGCCACCACTGCACTATTTGGCCAAATTATCCAACATGCGCTTTATCCCACTACTCTCCAGAGCCACCTCTCCATCGTCCCAGTTGCATGCGACCGGGTAGCGGAACACTTTCGGATTTTGTAGGGATTCATTGTAGAGAGATTCGGCAGAATCTGGTCGAAATGTGACGGATGGATGCGACGACACCAGAGTAGCTAGAGGTGCTTTGAGGTACGAAAGGATTATTCTGATCTGGTCCGGCGTCGGCGGTTGGTCTTTGACTTCGTTTAATGTGAAGTTAAGCGGGTTCCCAGGTTTGATCGTTTGCATTTTTGGATCTGGTGGAGGGTACGGCCCTGATAGGGCTGAACGTAGTAATCTTAAACATTGTGTAGATTGAGGTGAATTATTGTGGCTATCGGTTTCGACAATGAATTAGTGATCGGTTGTGTGCGAAGCGAACCCGTACAAGAGGGATATGACAGGGATTGCCCGGTGATACCGAAACGACATGGTGCTAGCCAGCGACGTTGACGCTAGACGGGAATCTCCAAGCAATTCACCGGATGGATGAATTCATTTCGGAGCGTGCCTATCGGCAGCTACCATAATACAAAGCGGGTGCAAAGTAGAAAGTAGAAATTAGAGCACTAGAACCTTCAAGCAAGTAGATGAAGAGCATAAAAGGGTAAGGGAAAAGGATGATTGTATAGCATGTCATAGACAGCAGAGACGAAATGGCATTTAAGCATCATCGTGCGTGCTCTTGTTCTGGGGCGTATTGTAGGGGGAAGAGGCCAGTGTCTCGGATGAAGCTAATGGTAAGCGGGATCACTTTCGGATGTGAGCAGCTGGGTCAGGTCAAACGACTTGACGGATTTGGAAGCAAAGATGATCCTTCTTTTCAAAGCCAAGCGCTCCCGGCAAGTGGCGACCACAGGTACTCATGAATTTCTGCCGGAGGCATAGGAGGCAGCCTGGAGAGTTGACGTGTCCCATTCTAGCAAGGCAAGCACGTAGGGCTATGTAGGAGGAATGAACGTAGTTGGAAGAGGATGATGGCAGCGCCGTGCAGTAGAGCGGCAGATACCTGTCGGGATTTTCGCCGCCCCTTGCTGTGCTCTGTTTGCATGGTGGCTTCCTTGGCAAGCGAGTCAACTTTCTCGCTGCCTGGTATGCCACAGTGCCCATGTATCCATTCAAGATGCGGCTCGTCGGGCCAGGCCTGCTTGGGGGAAGCGTGTCTTCCAGTTGATGGCTAACGGACTTGAACGAACAGCACGGTCTGGGCTCGCGTCGTTCTGACAGAGGATCGACCTGGAGTTTTGCGACCCTTGAGCTCCGTCAAACAGGGGCGTAGTCTCCTGATTTTTAGCACATTCAGGATATGGCTCATTGATGCCAACTCCCCGGGTGGCATGGGCGATTCTCTACAAGGCATAGACCAAATTTAGTGACAAAGGGACGCTAAGCAAGCTTCGTTGTCCCGCATGGCTCTGCCCAGTCCACATAGGCTTTCCTTCATTTGCAGGCCATAATCTATACCTACAAAGTCTGCACACTGAAAGCTACCCAAGGCAGGAGGGCATCCTCATCGTCGTTCAGAAGTCCGCTTCAATGGACTATTGCTACCCTTACTGACCACGACCGTTATTTATTGGAGCAACAAACAGACACGTCTAAGTTGTCATCATCCCAAGCTTCGCTGCGCGCGAGCACTTCGGCAGGAAGCTACATAAATCGGGCTCTTCATTGATAATTCTCCGGGGGTGCAGACTCCATTCAAACACATAGTACTTGCATCACCACCATTCGTCTGGATCCAATCGCATTCCTAACTTGAGCAACTGCATTGGAAACCTCTCATCTTCTGCTCTCCAATGGAGCAAACTCTTCTTTCCTGGAGTTCTTCAGCAGAAAGATCTGCTTCTTCACGTCCCTCGCCTCCCCACGGGCGGAATGGTTCAGTGGCCATCTATAAATCATCCAACCAGTCAGCTCTCTCTTCGGAATAACGCTGAGAAGCACACTGACTCGAAGTATTTTCCCAAGAACAGCCCTGCTTCGTCTCAAATCTCCATCTTGACACACTTTTATAACATCCTCCAACACCCATTGTCTTAATACGAATCGGGGGTTCACACTCTTCATCAATGCTTCTCGTACATCTAGCCAATGTTGTCCCCCCGTGCCTTTCCATGCTCGGGGGTCCTCCCTGTTAATATGTTCCGCATAGCTTTCCAGCCATTTCTTCCAAGCACCAGGTGCTTCCGCTTTCCTAAACGATGGGATGAACTCATCGAGAGTGTCAATGAACATACTTAATGCTCCCGAATTCGATTCATCAAGAAGCGAAGGACGGAAGAATGAAAGTTTGCGAAATGAACTGTGGAAGTCCACGAGGTTTTCTTCAAGGAGATTGAGAAGGGATGTTAGGAGAGTCCGCTTAGCCTTGAAGTCTTCTGTGTTCCGAAGGCCCAGACGCTAAGGTGGACCCCCTTTGAGCCTCTTCATCGACGGAAACAGGATGTTAACTAGCCTTGAACATTATCTCATGATATCGCTTTTCCACTATTTCCTGTATCTCGACCTCGATTGACACGGCATGGGCGAGACCTTTATCGTGCCATTGGTCTATTTTCTCCTTGGGGACATTGTCAGCCCAACCTTCCTCCACCGCCTTGCCACTTTCTTCTTCTGCCCCAATCAATGGGGCGAGAGAACGAAGGAGCATCTGGGCTGCATAAATACTGAAAAACTATGAGAATGAATGCACAGTCGATAAAACAAAGCACCCTACATCATTGTTGGTTGCATCTGTTAATATGAAGGGCGGGGAGAATAAATAACCAGATAAAATCCGCTCGCGTGCACTGGAACGCACCTTGAAAGAATACCTGCCCATATCA